GGATGGATTTCCCGGTTTGGCTGCCCCACGAAAATTGTCACTGATCGTGGTAGACAATTTGAGTCAGCACTCTTTAAGTGCTTATCTAATATTGCTGGATTTCAGCACAAACGAACCACTGCCTATCATCCGTCGTGCAACGGATTAGTGGAAAGGTTCCATAGGCAACTGAAAGCTGCCATAACCTGCCACTCTAGCAGTAATTGGGTCGAGGCTCTTCCCCTTGTTTTGTTGGGTGTTCGCAGCACCTATAAAGAAGACCTAAAATCATCTTCCGCTGAATTGGTTTATGGTGAACCATTGCGCCTACCAGGAGATTTTTTCCAACCAGACGAGGAAAGAACTGTAGATATGTCGGATTATGTGGCACGTCTTCACTTGTTCGCAAGACAGCTGCAACCATCCCCAGCTTCACGTCATGGTTCCCAGAAGTCTCCTTTCATCTTTAAAGATCTTGCCACGGCTTCTCACGTCTTCCTTCGAGATGACGCAGGGGCCGGCTGCCTCAAACCAGCATACACAGGACCACATGAGGTTCTAGAACGAGGCGACAAGGTGTTCAAACTCGCAATAAATGGTAAGCTGGTCACCGTGTCAATCGACCGAGTAAAACCCGCATACATACTGCGCGATCCAGACACCACAACTCTCACACCTCATCTTCCACAAACATCACATTCACACTCACCCACACTTAACACTACACATAACAACTCACCTGATTCGGTAGATACTCCAGTAAAAACTACCCGTTCTGGTCGTAGGGTTAAGTTTCCGGACTATTATCGCCCGTAGGACGGTCTCTGGAGGGGGGTGGTGTAGTGTGCCTACATAATATAATTTATATTTTGTAAAATTAAAATATTTGTTTTTGTGTTAATTTTGTGTTATTTATGTTTACATTAATATATATATTGTATTGCCTTATAAACTATATAATTAAATTTAAATAATAAAATATTATGTTAAAATATGGTAAACATAATATTGTAATGTAAAATATATATTTTAGTAGACAAGCGGACAGTCATATTTTGCTTGCGCATAGATACTCTTCTGCGCGGACGCAGGCCACGGCCGCTTGAACGTAACCGGTCTCAGTGGGCGGGGCCTCCGCACCACTTGTTCCTGCGCGGCCGCGGCAGTCAGATCTTAGCCTCTGCTTTGTATGCTTGTCGCTTGTTCTCTCACTATACCTAACGATCTCGACATCAGCTTGTTTAACGTTAAGCTAATACTTAATTATTGCGCTGTATTTTGTCTCCGTGCTAACTCATTGTGCACCTTCTACAACTGCATCAAGTGCTTATATATGTTTATGAGGATCATATTGTGTAAACAATAAATCGTGAGTACTGTGAACTTTGTTGCACTTAATTTACAACACCCGAGAAACGCACACAGCATCCTATAATAGTATTCCATACCCATTACAATCTCCTCAGTAATAGCAACGGTGCTGGTCGATAGGTCCTTGTCACTGAAGTAGCGCTGCTTCCAAGGGACGGACACGGACGGAAAGTAGTCACGCATACCGTTCGAATCTGCCGACCCATAGTGCCAGATCCGGCGTTTTACCACCGTTGGACGCGGAGGTTTGGCCTGTGGCGCTTTGGCAGATATCAGGCAGTGATCTGAAAAGTCCAGGGGGGCTCCTACCACAACCTGATAGCCCTGTGGATGGGTCGTGAGCAGAAGGTCCAGCAATGCAGGCGCTTGACTTGAAATATCTGGAATCCTGGTGGGCTGATCGACCAGTTACTTCAAGTCATGCGTGAGAGCGAACGCGTGAGCAGAGATCCCTGCATGATCAGTTTTTGAGGAACTTAACCACAAATTGTCTTGAGCATTAAAGTCCCCCAAAAACACCAATTCTGCATTGGGAAATTGCTCCTCCGCGTCATCTGCTGCCTGACTAAGATGTTCGAAAAGTCGAGTTGTCTCAACATCGCCAATGTGGGATCTGGAGAGGCACACGTAGACTCTGGCCTGGGGACCTGAGTCGACGTGTACCCCTATTATGGAGAAGGTAGGGATCTTCCAAGCAGCGGAGACGGCAACAACAAACATCCGCCCGAACATACAGGCATACCCGGCATTCGCTTTGAAAGACTCTTCAAGCACGTAGCCGGGATAGTTAAAGTAGCCTGTGTCAGCAGGCGGAAGTATTTGTGTCTCCGTCAGGAACAACAATGCTGGCCGTGCTGTCTCAAGATGGTGGTGGACAGCATTGAGGTTAGAGTGGAGTCCGTATATGTTGCAGAACTTGACCTCAAACAGCGTTGAAGGCGTGGGGGTGTGCACCGCTGTACGCCCAAACTTTGTTTTAAGAGCTGCCATTATGGAAGTGAAAAAGAGACGTGAAACGAGCAGACGTTGTCGCGACAAGATCGGGCAAATTAGGGAGGCATGTTTCCCCGAATGATTGCCTGCAGAGGATAAACGCCGACCCGCCGGATGGAAGGCGTATTGTATACAATAAAAAACACGACAGCCGTTTAAAAAAAATTAACTTAAAATTTAAAAAAATCTTTATTTTTTCGAACAGAAGTATATTTTTTAATGCCGTCGGGGCAATATTTTGTAATGAGAAGATGTCTTTAAAGTACTCCAATTGCATTTAAAAAAATAAACCAATATTCCGCTCTATTCTATTGAGACCAGAGCCGTTAGGTAATCAAAATAGATATCTATGCTTATAAAAAGTTTAGCCAAGCATATTTAATTGAATCAGAATAAAATTATTATAGATAAAATAGTACTTTATAGTGTAAAAGTGTGTAATGTTGGTGATTACCGCTGAGGTGCCATTGAGACCAGAGCCGTTAGGTAATCATCAATACACACAAGTATCATCATACGACGTTTTTTAACACACTTGTTAAGAAAATAATACTAAAAATCCTTTTATAGTATATAAAAAGTTTATTTAGAGAAACAATTTGTAAATGTGCAGTTAGTAAAATTAGTGATCTGCATCTGGCCATGGTTCTTTATGTGACCATTTCTGTCTTTGGTCGGCCTTGCCTGTTTTCCCAGGAGTTTCAAACTTTCCATCATTCTTAAAACCTTCGATGACTATCCGACTCTGATTTTTCTGAAAAAAAAAAGTAAAAAAATATGTAACGGAATAGAAACAATAACTTATTGACATGAAGCAATTAATTCAAAATTGGTAGAAAACCTGACCGAGTTGAACCATAATAACGTATCAAAAGAAATAGTCATACTACAATATTACCTATTTACAATGTCAATCTAACCTAAAAATGTGCAATGTAAACAATGCCTTTATTCGTCTCAAAATCGTAAATTGAGTAAATTTGTAACTTCAGGAAGATTACAAACAAATAGTTACACGATTATATACCCGTCATAGATGCTGTTCGCTCATAAACATCATCCAAATCCCACAAAATTCGTCCAGCTTGGTAGTCTTCGAAACATCGCTGGAAAACTTTAAAAACCACTTCCCGCGTGCCACTCCGATTTACTTTACTCATTTTTATAGCTTTCTGGGTAGTTTTGTCTTAATTTATTACAGTTTAATCCAAACAATAAAAAATACAAAATGAAAACTGTTCCACAACTGAAACTCGATGACAGCTGATGTACATAAGTTTGGTGCTGCCAGCCAGACACATGAATAATGTTAGTTCCTCAAACATTCATGTCACGACTTTATAGACAAACTGTACTTGTGTTTATAAAGATATCGATATATAATGGGTCAGCCTTGGGGCAACACTATGTAAAAGCGCCATTTTCGTTTCCTTGTAACTTTAGGTATACACCAGATTTTTTCGAAGGTATGCCATCTCCATATGTTTCAGTACTCAGAGAAAGAAACGGTATTTTCCATAGATTTGTTTTTTTTTAATTCTCCTGTATTACAAAGAATTTTAAGTTCATACGGCCTTTATACCATTTATGGTTTAACTTGCAGTTCCGATATTATTATCATTATTAAACTTAGCTTTTATTAAGTTTACTTTAGTATAGCACAACCTTATAGAAGCTTACTAAAATCGATTCAATACATTCGGCGGCAAATAGAAAAATAAAAAACTGATTCTAAAAACTATGTGGTATGATGTTAGTATTCTTATTTTTCCGTTGGAAGAAATCTGACGAAACCAAATTGACATTTGACATTTTGACAACACCACTTTTAGTGTTGCCAGCCATGTGGTATTTCCGGTATTCTTACTTATTTCTAAATAAACAAAGAAAACGTACGATAATTTATATACCAAAAAAAACAGTGTTAATATGTTACAGTATTATTCATTAAACACCTTTAATGAACTATAACAAAATTTGCTAATGAAGCCATAGTTTGCTTAATAAAATTGATGCTTATTTTTATACCTTATCAAAACTCAAATTCACAGCACTCTCATCCCCGATCTGTAGTTTATAATAATTCCATTGTTTTAAGCATAACATATTTTTGGTAAGTTAATGGTGTCGATTCTGGCACGATTCTCTAAAGCTAAACTTAAATTTGACAACAGTGCATCCTTGTCATTCTCTATACAGAATGAAAAGGAGAGACTGATGTTAAATTTAGTTTTAAATTTAGATAATCATTTCAGAATCGATACCATTACCTTAATAATTAATGCTTAAATTCTAAAAATATGGTTAAATTTAGAGATCTTATTGTTAATCACATTGGATAGTTTGAGAACTCCCAAATCTCTGTCATTTGTCAAAAAATAGGTTTATAGAAAAAATTACTGTACGGTAATTTTATACCCAATTCGCCGTAATTCTAGCAAGACAAGTTGGTAACACTGGCCACATTTTTCTTTTGTCTACGGTTGCGTTGTGAGCACGTTGTAAAGTGCAACTTATAGTGTAAAACTCTTGAAAATGTCGTCCCATTTGAACTGGATGATAATTCGCAACAATAACGCCTTCCTGGTGAAGAAGCGCAACATCAAAAAGCCCTTCAGCAAGGAGCCTAACAATGTGACTAACCTCAACTCTTACAGATACAATGGTTTGATCCACAAGAAATCTGTCAGCGTGGTCGAGGATGTGGTCAGGAAAGGATTCACAGTTGTGTACAAGAAGGCAAAGGCTACAAACAAGCCCGCTAAGAATACTGTACGTCGTCCTTTCAAAGCTGGTGCAAGAAGATCACTGTACAAGCTGAAGAGATTTATGAAGGCCAATCACTATCGCACGGACCTCTGCAAAGCCACGCTTCGCCGCGCCTCAGCCATCCTTAGGTCTCAGAGGCCAATCAAGGCCAAGAAACCTAAAGCAGCTGCAGCGAAAACAGAATAACCTTATTGTAAGCTTGTAATAAAAAAAATTAAAAACTGGTTCTTATTTTATTAAATCTCAGTTAACGAATATCGTTAGTATTTTTACTAGATCAGCTAATTAGGTAAAGTGCATTATAACTGATTCAATTCAACCAATGAATCCTTATTAATATACTAATCCGAAAGTGTCTGTTACCTTTTCACTCTGGCAACAGTGGAACTGATGCAAATTGAATTTTATTTAGAGATCCATAGAAAGGACATTGCAACCTTTTTTCTCAGAAATGATCCTATGAGACAGTAGCAGTTTATATGCTAGAGCGATTTTTCCATGCAATATACCTGCTAGTTACTATAAGTATTTAAATGTAAAGAAAATTTGAAGTTCTTGGACTGAATGGAATGGTTATTATAATAGTTACCATAACCATACTTAACATATCTTTATTACCCCACACTTTGAAGCTTTTATAAATATTACTGAAGAAATAATTACACACAGAAGACAATTGGTGAGACATTAGAAAACGTTCGCAGCAGAAGTTCAAGCACAAAAAAAAGATCTTTGCGTTTCTGAACTGTATAACTAAGAAAAATACATTATTTCATGTTTCAAAGAAATTTGCATTTGGCAGTAATACTAATATTATAAATGTAGTAACTAGTGTGCCTGTCTTTCTGTTACCTCTTCATGCTTAATCATGTGAACAAATTTAGATGAAATATGGTTAAGAAATAGTTTTAAGTCCTGGGAAAGGACATAGGATAGTATTTATTCTAGAAACCACCCTTTAGGGGGTGGAAGTCTGTATGAGAAATAATTTTATTTTCTATAATCTAAATAAATATAAGTATTTCCAACACACACTAATTAGCCTAGCCCCAAAGTAAGCTCTGTAAGGCTTGTGTTATGGAATACTAGGGTAACGGATAGAATACACATACTGTACATTTAAAAGTTTATTTATATAGAAATATATATCAATCATCCATGACTGGAGTACAAATGCTCGTATTCATCACACAAACATCTGCCCCTACCGGGATTCGAACCCGGGACCTCTCGAGTCGGCGACACCATGAAACCTGGCGTACAACACACTCGGCCACGGAGGTCGTCAATCTAAATGAACTAACTATTTTAGCTCTTGTATGACACCAGATGACCAGAAATAAATTGGAAAAGAAAAGTGTATTTTATATCAATGTTTTAATATAAAAAGAAACCATGATTTTCAACATCATCACATACCTTTGGAATGTAAATAGAATTAGTGACACATTAATAGCCTCATATAAATAATTAAACAATCATTTCAATAAGCAAACCTCACTTCTTCAGATTTAATCAGGATGCTTATCAAAATGATGTTAAGCTTGACAAAAAAATTACACAATTCAATTATGTTAATGGACATATTTATGTTTACAATATTATTATTAGAGTGCTTTTCTAACTGCAATTTTCCACAATTGCTTATTTATACAAACATTTAAGTATATTTTTATACATGCAAGGTATCACAAACATATTTGTGAACATTTATTGATATAAGCCAGTAATAATTTTTTGAACATTCAATTGATATGCAAAAACTTAAAATAGTTTTAAACATCTTGAACTTTTATTTATTCAATAAATATAATTTGTACTGTGATGAGATGAGAGAATAGATAAAAATTAAATTAAACATGTGAAATATTCATACCACTTTTATACAGGTAATTAATTATAAACAGTTAATGATGGAAAATATATTATTGTGCAAAGTGTTATGTGGATGTAATAATCATAATATTTTATTACATAGTTTATATGAAACTACAACATACATACTAAGGTACACTAAGAGCAACTGGGTGGTACAAACTGGTCTAAGAACTCTAGTATAATAGTACAAGGTGTACAGAGCAATTACCAATAAACAGGAATACTCCAGCGGGATTAAGAAAGCTTCAGGTACAAAATACAATAGTTGACATGAAAATAAAAGGCACAAATATTTTACCTATAATTACAAAGGCACAATACACCAAAATTCACACATTACTTTTTAGTTCATAACATTTTGTTGGTACCTAGTTACAATTTAATATACATATTATAATTACTAATAATTAATTAATATTTATTATAATTGAATAATATAATTTATACCAATCTTTCTATATTTCAAAATAATTTAATTTTACAGATAAATAATGCTTCAGTAAACCTACTACCTCTCGAAATAACATTTTACAGAGCGTTGGTATAGACAGCCACAGGAGAAGTTATCTTAAACTGACAAATTTCGATAACTAATTTTTAGCTTTATTTTAATGCAATTAGGATTCGTAATCGATTGACAATATTTAGCATTTAGTTCTGACTTGATGTGAGCCTGACTGCCTGATACAATGAAGAAGCAAAATTCTTTTACTCAATGTAAACAGACAATTTTATGTAATCAACAAGGTTTACTATGGTAATACATATATTACTTAGACCAGGGTCGATAATTTTAAAAATGGTGAAAAGTGAAAAAAAATTGTAGTAGGATGATACCCATTAGAAAAGGTAGAGAATATAACAAAAATGAAAGGAATAATAAATTACGGGCGATTTGAGGTCGGGAAGGGGGAGGGGGTGAGTTTTTAAGGGTAAAAAATGGTTAATCTCGATTTCCGGTAAAACTGCAAGTCCTATGAAAAAAAGTTAAATGGCAAAGTTGTAGGTAATAAAAAGATCTACAACTTTTGTATCGACACTTTTTTCACATAACCTCAAAATTTATGTGAAAAATGCGAATAACCGAGTTTTTGGTTTTTGATTTTTATTTTTTGCAAAAAAAAATATTTTTTCACGAAATTTGGTGAAAACTTAACTTTCTTTATAACATACAGTAATTTTTTTGATTTAAAATATTCAAATTTTCACCTTATTTTGACTTAATATCGAAAAAGCACCCTAATTTTCAATCGAAAATTCTCACGTCAAAATATCTGCTTTTTTAAAAAAGTTGGGGTCTTTTTTGTTTGTTGAAATCTCTACTTTCTGATGGTATAAAAAAAATATACACTACTATGATAAATGTTCTCAGAAAATGCAAATTAATAATGAAAAAAAACTCGAATCAGAAAATCCTATTTTTAATACCTACTTACAACAACTATTTTTGCATGTTTTATGGATTTGTAATTTTTCTGTTTATCAATATAACATGAAATCTTACGTTTTTCGAGTAATTAAAGTGTAAATTTTAATAAATAGTTTAAAATTATACATAATGATTCAAATCAATTTTTCGGATTGGAGTTTTTTTCATTATTAATTTGCAGTTTCTGAGAACATTTACCATAGTAGTGTATATTTTTTTTATACCATCAGAAAGTAGAGATTTCAACAAATAAAAAACACCCCAACTTTTTTAAAAAAGCAGATATTTTGACATGAGAATTTTCGATTGAAAATAAGGGTGCTTTTTCGATATTAAGTCAAAATAAGGTGAAAAAATTAATATTTTAAATCAAAAAATTACTGTATGTTTGGGACATACAAAGGTAAGTTTTCACCAAATTTCGTGAAAAAATATTTTTTTTTGCAAAAAATAAAAATCAAAAACTCGGTTATTCGCATTTTTCACATAAATTTTGAGGTTATGTGAAAAAAGTGTCGATACAAAAGTTGTAGATCTTTTTATTACCTACAACTTTGCCATTTAACTTTTTTTCATAGGACTTGCAGTTTTACCGGAAATCGAGATTAACCATTTTTTACCCTTAAAAACTCACCCCCTCCCCTTTCCCGACCTAAGATCGCCCGTAATTTATTTTTCCTTTCATTTTTGTTATATTCTCTACCTTTTCTAATGGGTTTCATCCTACTATAATTTTTTTTGGTCTCAAAAATTATCGACCCTGGTCTATATGGCTGTACCAACAAAATTCATTAAAAGCATTTGAAACTTTGTGGGTACTTTAAAGGATTTCGCATGGGTTCCACTACTACACTTAATATGAATATTTTATTTCTAAAGACTTAATTTAGTTATATATAATGTAATTATTTCCAGTACATTTAGTTTCAATATGTTTTGCTTTAATACTTTATTCTAACACATTAATTCGTTTCAACAGCATTAATATTTCTTATGATAATAGAAGCAAGCATTTTTAGAGAGATTTATACATATACATATATATATATATAGAAGAATATAGACCAATTTGGTATGTTAGATTGTAAAGCACAATAATAATTATTTGTTTCCGTTTATATACATTTTGAAAAAAGCTCATTAGTTATTGACGCGTTTTAATTCATTTTATTTTAGCTAGTTACACGTAATCTACCAGAGGCACATATTATTTATCTGTGTCAGCTGTTCTGACTGTGCCAGGTTACAAAGTAGAGTCTGTAGTTCAAAGAAAAGACTTAAGATTACAGAACAAAAGGCAAATGGAGCGAACGGTACACAGATCGCGTGCCATCAAAGCAAATATCATGTCTAACGCGAATGTTAACTCGCGTCAGCACTCTACAACGCATCGTGTTGTATGAATAATATGTTCCGTGAATATTAAGTTTTTATCAAAACTGTGCCGCCTTGTTCAAACATTGTAAAAACTGTTCACAAAGACGGAAAAAATGTCTACTTTTGACTTCGTGTTTCTTTTGGAGGTCGCACTTGCGTGTTCCGAGCCATGGAGGTTAGAAAGAAGGAGAACGATCGCTACGTGCTAAATAAAGCATTAGCCCGCCTGTCCCTGAAAATTTGTAGAATTTATAGTTCATTTTTCAGCCACCAGCCGCGCTGCCGTCGGTAAGTAGTATCTGTGAAGTTAGCTGTTTATGAGTACAAGTAGATGAAGTTTGTTGAATAATGTACAAATTTTCTTCGCGGCATTGGTCATTTCAAATAGCGCATAACAGCCCGCTTTTTATTGAGACAACTTAGCGATCGCAGCGCCTCACTTATTTTGTTCATATTTCTGGGACACTATTTTCTGCAGTGATCGTACTCCTTCCCTCTTACTTCCATGTTCCGAGCGTTGCATCTGCCTTTTGTTCTGTGATCTGAGGTGATGACGAAATAAATATCATATCACTTATTTACTTATTTCGCTCAGTCAGAAAGCGTCACTGCTTTTATTATTTTATTCTATCATTTTATTTTTCAATATAGGTAAAGAGCATTTTATTATAAAATGTGAAAAGGCAGTGAAAACATTTTATTGTCTTGCTAAATTATGTGGCGAAATCAATACTCGCGCATTTCTATTGAAAGGCAAGGCTACGATTTTTTAATATTTAAACACTAAAATAATTTTGATTGAATGTTAATAACGACCAATACAATTACAATAAACAGAGTAGACTTTAGAAAAATAATGGGTTTTATCGAATCTCTCGTGTAGATATTTCCTTAAAATTTTCTGTGAGGGTTAATTAGCCAGTGAAATTAAAAGTATCAATAAAAAAAGACACAAAATGTTAAGTAAACGTACATACTTGAAAGACAACTGTTAAATACATTATCGAGGCCTTTAAAATACAACAAAGTAACCTGTATTCGTACAAGATTTTACACCTGTCAGTTAACATCTATCTTTTTTTTACAATTATTTACAACGTGATTTTGCGTAATATATTTAAAAGGAAAAAGCCGTCAATTGTCAAACCAAACTTTTTACAGTGTATAATTAATAAGGTATTGTATAATTTATGTAAAGAAAAAATACTATACAAGATATAGGTACACACACGGACATAGAATGACAAAATGCATATTGCAATATTATCCTAAATGACTAGTATACAACTTAAATGCAAATTATAAATTAAACCTAATATGAATAACTGAATAGATTGTGTTGTGACCAAATATGGTACTTATTTGTGCAATATCCAAACTTAAATATAATCAATTAACCAAGAAGCTTGTACTCAGTTTAAAGCTTTACGCACACATTACGGCTTAAGCAGTTTCATCAGGACCAGTGCCATAGAATAATAACAAAGCAGCACATTTCCCAATTTTATGGGATTAGGACTGGTGAGGGCAACACTAAAAATCATATATTTGTGAGCGTAGATATAGTCAACTTATGTTACGCACACAAGAAAACGAATTCGGCACGCATTAGCGGGCTATACTGTAACTTACTGGGCCCAAGATTTAGGACGAGGAGGTCATACCAACACAACACTAACCTAACCGGGGGTCCAATCGCCTAACGGGAATGCTATGGTTATCGCTTTCGCTTACGTTTTCATTTTGTTATTTGAGCGCCGATGGTTTTCAAATGCTCGGCGCTCTTTTTTTACCCGACTGCGCAATGCAAGAGCGCGAAGCGCGACGCGCAGACAGGGTATAGTGTTCAACAGTCTATATATGTATGTTTGTTCCTTTGTGGCACACTAGAGACCAAACACGTGGACCGATTTTGATGATTTATACATCAATCGATTCGTTTTAATCATGGGAGTGCTACTAAAGTTATGATAGTAATCAAAATTCAATATGGGGACAATTAGGCACCATATTGTGACGAACTAAAAAAAATAAGTTGACGAAATATATCGAGTGGGGTATTGTCTAGATAATCGAAAGTCATGATTAGGTTCCTTACACCATTTTTCATTTTATGTGACTGTTTAGGATCTACAACGATTTAAAGTTGTATGTTCACCACTTACGCTTTTAATTTCAATCTTACGTTTGTATGGATCTTTGTTACTCTTTCACCTAAAAAATACTGAATGGATTTTAATGAAACTTTACAATAATATAGCTCATACATGATAATAACATACAGATAACAATTTATGTAGTCATTGAGTGAAATGGCCAAAACATAACAATAAGTGTCACGTAAGACGGAAAAAAAATCTTCCATCTGCGAGCTATTTTGGCCTGCACTTCAAAAACAATAAAAATTACACGAATATAATGTACAGTGAAAATTTATCTCTTAAATAGTTTTATAAGAAAGTCCGTGACACCATATACCTATTTTTAATATGCAAGCCATTATCGCTAAAATAGTGAATCTAAAATAAAGTATTTTATGTCCATTTCCAAAATGCACTATTATATTAACAAATTATTTTTTATCAAAACAAATACTTTTATCGCTTTTGATATTTAAAGACGATAAACTTTGTCTTTTACACTATGTTATTTCGACAAATATTTAAAAAGTTACAACGATGAAATAGAAATAGATAGCGTGGAGTACTATGCAAGATTAGACTGGGGAAGAGTGGGAGAAGAAATTTAATTTTGGTGTTTATAAACGTAGATAAAACCTAGACGAAAAATAAAAAATTGGTTACTCGCAGTATCTTATCCTATACAAAGTACTTACAATAAAACTATTCTACAGTTCCTTCTTATTAAATGCTGAAAAATAAATTAATATAATAGGTATGTATGATTATTGTAATTTAATGAAACACTCTAGGTTTCATTAAATTACAATAATCATACATTAAGTTTTTAAAGTTTATGTTAACGATATTACTTCATGTTACAAAAAAAAGGTAAATTTAAAAAATCAAAAAACCCGACTTCTTAATGATACTTCAAATAAAAACTGAAAAGAAAAAAGCAAGTCGCGTAGTCTATAATTCTGTTAATAAGGAACAATGCTACTTTAACAGTCGGGACCCATTAGATATTCAAGAATACATAATTTCTTTTGTATTGGTAACAACAATATAAAATCGTAAGCTATAGTCATAGCAATTCTGTTTGGCGATAGACCCCTAGGTTAGTGTTGTGACCATAACAAAGCGAGAATGCCGCAGCTGGGGCCGGCGATGTGCCAGAAAAATAAAACGCTAATAGAGACCTATTCAACTAAGAAATGACAAGTATCAGCTCTTCGGCCCAGGACGTACACTTTTACCCATTGGTTAAAACACGGCTTCTAGGCGTTATTATTCTAAGACAGAACTTAATCTGCATCTGTTGAATACCTATATACATCATTTGTTTGATTTTATTCAGGATGTTAGAGATATCCCAACAATAGTTGAATAATAACAACTCATGCTTTTTCAGGGTTACTGCATGTGCGTCGGCCTTATAAGTGTAGTTAGTTGACTTCACTAGTAAGATGTCATGGCAAATTGTTTTTATATGAGAAAAAACTTATATTAACTTTAGATATAAGTAAAAGATTTTTAAATTTGAGCAAACCTCATAATTTTGGTCAGATCAATAGGGATGATAATGGGTTAAAGTAAACAAAATTGTATATATGTAGTCCGTCTGTTAGATTATTAAAAAAATAATGGACACATATTTTCTCTTTTGTCAATCAACCAAAAAATTACGAAGATAAAACGCGTCAAAGTTTGGAAGTTGGGGCTGGTGACGTAACTTCTAAGTAAAAACTGTACCAGGACGTGACGTCATGCGACATTTCAAATCAATATCTCTTTGTAAAGTTTTGATTATACGAATAAAGAAAAATACGTGTCCCATACTTTTTGATTAATCTACTGTTAGATGAAGAAAAACATTATGTCATCATCCCTATTAAGAGAATTCACTTTCTGGTTAGCCCTGTAAATTTTATCATTGCATATTTTTTGCACATTTCTAATTACAACATGAGTACATTAAACAGATATAAATATTTGTGATTGTGCATAAGCATAGAACTGCCACTTCACAAAAAATCCATAATTTATTAGCAACCATTGGGCAATCACTGTAAAATTGTATGACTAAAGTAAACAAATGGAAATTTTACAGAAGCAAGCATTATTTCATTATTCAAAATTAGGGATATTATCCTAATAATTATAAATAACAAAAAAACGAAGCAGTAGCAGCACCGTAGCAAATTATGCGCTTGAAAAAGAAAATAGTATTACATTTTTGTTATACATATTTAAAACAACTAAAAAAATATTAAACGTGACAAAAAATCTTTGATTGTTTAAAAACGGTCCTTTTTCACGTGCATGCACGTTTATTTTACTTCAAACTTCAAGGGTAAATATGGTAAAAATCTAATGCCGTATTTGCCAATTATAAGCTAGACATCAGTCTGTCCTTGTCATGCTCTACAAGGAATGAAAAGGACAGGCTGATGTCATGTTAACAAATAGCAAACACGAATAGCCAAGTTAAATGCCGCCATACAGAATTAAGGATTGCTAATGAGCATTAAAGGCATATTCTGAGCAATTCCCACGTGCCTAATTGTTTGGACCACAAACTATGTTGATCTAAATGCAACTAACTATATTTATAATACATACTAGAATTCGTTTGTAGGAAAGTTAATAATAGATAATACTTGTGAACACAACTTACAAGCGTGAGGATAAAAAAATGACAGTTAAGATTGGACGCGAGCTGAGAGATTTTTGAGGAATAGGTATTTGAAAAAACTAAGCAGTCACGCATTGGCAAATACCGTGTGATAGGGACAACAGTAGTTAATGCTGAATATTGCGTATAAAAAATGCAAAATTCGAGGTTTGGTTCTCGACGATTTCCTCCTCGAAAATTAGATATATGTAAAAGAAATTTCACACAAAAAAATAATAAGTAGTTATACTATGCCTCTATGTTTTGTTTTTTTTGTTTCTAGATTACAATTTATACGCGTATAGTAGCTCGCGTATAAATTCGGTCTCGTTCGGGAACTAAGACGTGAGCATCCACGATCAAACTATACACGATCAGTATGCAAAATTAGTGTGTAATCACAGCTCAATTTAAAAACAGCTTTACATTATATACGAGAGCAGTTTCCTATGGCTGCGTTCAGGCCTTGTATAGAATGGAAAGACGCGATCACGTGGGCGGGGCGAAAAAAATGCCATCAACACGCCGATTGGTTGGGATTTCTGTTAAACAATATCTTACCCAATTTATGATTTGGCTAATTTGCAGATACATATTTATGATTGTCAAATTATTTTATTTTGTCTGTGTGCGTGTCGCGTTAGTATTAAAGTTTAGTTGTACGAGTTTGTTGAAGAGTAATGCTTCCATATAATTTGTAATTCGTTGAGTTGCAGCAATATTACTGTTCGTAATTCGTCACTGACAAATAAAAATTTTAATATTCAATGCAAGTTTAGGCAAGTTTACTTCTCACTATTTCTCGATACATTGCATATTAGCGCCTCTAGCGGGAAAACGCTGCAAAACACCCGTAAACAAAAGTAGACGATTGCAGTTTTTACTAAAGACTGCTAAAACTCGCACTTTCACAAAAAACTGGGATTCTATTCGCAAGCGAGTTTGCTGTCGAACGAACTTAGTGCTATACCAAAAGCTTGCAGAGCGCACAAAGGATACCTATAGTCCATAGTGAAGACATCCTCCGATATCCTTCCGAATTGCATTACGACATAATCTGGCTCCGAATCATGGACGATCTGAAAGTTTTTAACACTCGCCTGGGTCACTCGGCCGTGGAAATTTAACACGTAGGATTGTGTCTCGTCGTTCCATACGGGAGTTTTGTTGTGTAATACCACAATGTCATCTAGGTTTTGGTTTTTACACCTCTCTAAGAGGGTTTCGCTGTCGTCTTGGGGCGCTATGGTCACTCGTTGCCTGTCTGGGGTCATGCCCGGCAGAATCACTGTCATTTTGCGGGGTCCCTTGAAACCTAATACGTTGGTGTCCTGAAAATGTATATGGTAATATGAACACGAGGAGCTCGTTGTGCGATCGTGGTAGTTCTGTTCAGAGCTCTGAGTCTAAATTCTCTACTAAACATCAGTTTTCATGGTATAGGTCAACGATATTAAACACCCTAGATACACCACGTGCGCTCAAAATGTGTCCCTATCAAGAAGTGCTTGAACACGACTCAAGCACTTCATAGTTCACAGTCACGCGCGGACCGTTGAAAGGTCAACATGCCGCTGAGCTCCGTGAAAAAATGCAAAGTAAATACTTATAGTATGTAAAATGTCGTTTTTTCGACAGGTATCTAATCAATGTTTGTTAATTTAACGCTTTTGAAGCAAATTTTGTTTTAATACTTGCTATAAACTGATTTAATAGAAAATATTTGTGATATTCAAATGCATGGTTGGTAATATAGCCGTCTCTTTTCCTCTCGGTCCGTATCTGCTATATTGCTAACAGCGCATTAAGAATTTTGCATAGAGTCAAAGAAATAAGGTCTATATTCTTCCGCATATAGCAATAAGTCGTAAAAATTTACGAGTTTACATCTCGGACTGTCATAACTCTTTGACGCATGCGTTTTAATTAAGACCTCATATCCTGTGCTTTAAAGATGATTTTCAATGTTTAAATAATGCCTTATATTGTTTACATTACGCGATCATTTTACAGAGCTCCGTGGATCGTCCAATGTACCTTTTGGACAGGTTTCGGGTCTGATTTTGTTTGTGTTGGTGTATCTAGGGTATTTAATATTTACTTTGCAAAACCTTTTTAAAGACTAATTAGCAACAACACTTGTTATAAAAGTATGTTGCGCTACTAATTTTCACAACATCAGATTTTATTGAAACTTTGCACACTTTTTGTACTATGACTGATGATAATACAAAAAATAATAATAAAATAAATAAAAACAACCAAAAAGAGCAAAACATAATGATTTAAGAAAAATAAAATACTCGCTTTATTTACATATTCATGCATTAATAAACACTTTACCATGCGTTTGAATAGAAACTTGAATTAACTAGCAACATTTTTGTATGATAGCTTTCTTTCGATCAGCTACAAAAGTAAGCCTGTGAGCCAATGAGAGTTTTCATATAAAACTGTGGATTACATTTTCACCAGCAGGGTTTCCGGACCAATACGACCGAAAAACCTTAAAAAAAAAGAGCGTATTCCTTCCTTAAAGGCCGGCATTGCATTTGTGATACTCCTGGTGTTGCAGGTGTCTATGGGCGACGGTGATAACACACTATAGGCTGGACCGTCAGCTCGTATGCCCCCTATAATATAATATATATATATATATATGTATACAGGGTGTAAAAAATCATTTAACGAAGTCGAAGGCCACGTATTTTCCACATCATGACGATAATTTTTTTCTTCCAGACCATACCTGGGAAATTTATGGTTATGGAGATATTGAAGGTCAAAGTCTCAATTTTATTTTCAAGATTTTCACATTAATATTTTCAAAACGTTATTTAGAAATGCACGAAATTTATTTATTTATTGAGGTTTAGCAGCCTTTTTTCCCTTTTTTTTTTACTTCAGAATAACAAATGATTCCCACGTATAATATTTTGTAATATTACTAGATTGGGTGTACAGAATGCGTAGTTTTAGTCTGACATAGGTTTTTTTACACCCTGTATATGACACCCAAAGTAGATTATCTACTTACATATATAACAGCGGCTAGTTCGTGCCTCGTGCGCGCATGATCGTGCTTCCTCCACGCCTTGCCGTTGTCGTACACCGTGAACGCTGTACCGAGTAAATTGGAGCGCAGTTTGCCCGCGAAGCTGTCGGCCGTTCGAGTCAACTCGGTGGGGTCGGTGGATATCAGGTAGTTGGAGGTGGCTGACTTCTTTCGTTTCCTAGCTGGATGTGGAATGAGAAAGGTCTGAGTATGTTATGTATAGCCGTTCGAGTCAACCCGGTGGATATTAGGTAGTTGGAGGTGGCTGACTTCTTTTGTTTCCTGGCTGGATGTGGAATGAGAAAGGTCTGAGTATGTTATGTATAGCCGTTCGAGTCAACCCGGTGGGGTCAGTGGATATCAGGTAGTTGGAGGTGGCTGACTTCTTTCGTTTCCTAGCTGGATGTGGAATGAGAGAGATCTGAGTATGTTATGTATAGCCGTTCGAATCAACTCGGTGGATATTAGGTAGTTGGAGATGGCTGACTTCTTTTGTTTCCTGGCTGGATGTGGAATGAGAAAGGTCTGAGTATGTTATGTATAGCCGTTCGAGTCAACCCGGTGGGGTCGGTGGATATCAAGTAGTTGGAGGTGGCTGACTTCTTTCGTTTCCTAGCTGGATGTGGAATGAGAGAGATCCGAGTATGTTATGTATAGCCGTTCGAATTAACTCGGTGGATATTAGGTAGTTGGAGGTGGCTGACTTCTTTTGTTTCCTGGCTGAATGTGGAATGAGAGAGATCTGAGTATGTTATGTATAGTCGTTCGAGTCAACTCGGTGGGGTCGGTGGATATCAGGTAGTTGGAGGTGGCTGACTTCTTTCGTTTCCTAGCTGGATGTGGAATGAGAGAGATCTGACTAAGTGTGTTATGTATAGCTGTTCGAATCAACTCAGTGGGGTCGGTGGATATCAGGTTGTTGGAGGAGGCTGTCTTCTTTCGTTTCCTAGCTGGATGTGGAATGAGAGAGATCTGAGTATGTTATGTATAGCTGTTCGAATCAACTCGGTGGATATTAGGTAGTTGGAGATGGCTGACTTCTTTTGTTTCCTGGCTGGATGTGGAATGAGAAAGGTCTGAGTATGTTATGTATAGCCGTTCGAGTCAACCCGGTGGGGTCGGTGGATATCAAGTAGTTGGAGGTGGCTGACTTCTTTCGTTTCCTAGCTGGATGTGGAATGAGAGAGATCCGAGTATGTTATGTATAGCCGTTCGAATCAACTCGGTGGATATTAGGTAGTTGGAGGTGGCTGACTTCTTTTGTTTCCTGGCTGAATGTGGAATGAGAGAGATCTGAGTATGTTATGTATAGTCGTTCGAGTCAACTCGGTGGGGTCAGTGGATATCAGGTAGTTGGAGGTGGCTGACTTCTTTCGTTTCCTAGCTGGATGTGGAATGAGAGAGATCTGACTAAGTGTGTTATGTATAGCTGTTCGAATCAACTCAGTGGGGTCGGTGGATATCAGGTTGTTGGAGGAGGCTGTCTTCTTTCGTTTCCTAGCTGGATGTGGAATGAGAGAGATCTGAGTATGTTATGTATAGCTGTTCGAATCAACTCGGTGGATATTAGGTAGTTGGAGATGGCTGACTTCTTTTGTTTCCTGGCTGGATGTGGAATGAGAAAGGTCTGAGTATGTTATGTATAGCCGTTCGAGTCAACCCGGTGGGGTCGGTGGATATCAAGTAGTTGGAGGTGGCTGACTTCTTTCGTTTCCTAGCTGGATGTAGAATGAGAGAGATCTGCGTAAGTGTAATTTTACTAGAAATAATTTAACTGGGTCCAAGTATCCAGCCTGACATAGAGAAAGGATTCTGTAATTCTTGTTCAACTGTAAAAAACCTGTGTTCGAGTCCCGTCTGCTGCTTGGTCTGCGTTGATTATTTTCTCGTAAAATTTTCCTTAGATTTAAACATCTAGCAGTTAAATGTTTAAAAAATATAACTATGTATATCAGTTCCTTCCTAGTTTCGCTCCAGTGTGAACTACGTTTTTGATATCGGGGTTGTATAATACATATAAAATACACCTTTCGTAACAATAATATCTAACTTATTGGTGAATTCCGCATAAAAATCCCTTCAGTAGTTTCTGAGATCATCGCGAATTACTCGACAGACAGACGCGGCAGGGACTTTATAATGCTGGTACATTGCATGACCTTTCGTATTTGTTATTTTTAAATTCAACAGCGGTTCTTTTTTTTGGATTCCCCATAGAGCATGATAAAGATATACTGCTATTTTAATAACAAATAGCAAATTTGAATTGCCATGTGAAGCGCTCGCTAGCATCCTATATATATATGTATTCATATTGGAAGGTTGAAGTTAGACAAGAATGTTTCTCTCTATTGCGTCACCTTGGGGAGCACGTGTGCTCACTCGATCGCACCCGCACGTCTTTATCGTGAAAAGTAAGGTTTAATAAATAATTCACCGCAAGTGAGTACCGAAACTTCGTCATTATCCGGTGACCGGGTACTTTGAGTGCGTCACCATGGATTTTGTCGCTTCGCAAACATTGAGTCACCCCCGCCCGCTACTATCGACAATATTGAATTCATTCAAACTGAAATATACTAACAACGTATATTGTTACATTACTACTAACGTAATGATGCAATAGGGAATTTGACAAGTTTTAGAAATCGATCTCTGTATTTTGTATTACTCTGTATATTGTAGTATCTGTACTATATTAGTCTTCGCCAATCCCATGCGTTTCCGGTTACGTGACCATACAACAAAAAAAAATACTATTTCAAGATATTTAAGAAATGTTATTAATATTTTGTTCGTTCAGAATAGTAAAATCGCTGCAGATATTAATTTTTAATTAAGAAGCCAACAATTAGTACTTTTTTTAATACTGTTAAATACCCTATTAGACTTAGTCGTTATCCCGTTAAAGGGTGCCAAAGATCTAATAGGGAAGATGCAATATTTTTATTTTTGTTTTCATTTTAAAGAATTCCATGTAGAATAAACCACAGATATATTAAAAATTTAAAACATTGTGATTTATCGGAAAAAAATGCGGTTTTAAATTGATAATGACGTCACTCCTGTCTGTCACTGGTCGTACTTGTTCGTCGCTGGCTTTAAATTTTCATAATTTTGCATATTTTTTTGAAAAATTTTAAATGGACTATCCATCAACATCATGTGATCATAACAATACCACTAATATTCCGAAAAAAAGCCGTGTTGACTCATGTTTTGTGCCAATCTACTTCAACAAAGTTTCCAAATAAATTGTTTTTGACTGGAACTTCTGACCCAAAACTGAAAAAAAGTGGTTTCAATCTGCGAAGAGAAATGACAATTATTCTCCAAAGACCAATCCCCTCAAGCGGCCATGCGCATGCGCCGCTCACCCCCTCAAGCGGCAGACCACCCACCGAGGCCCCCCGCGGGGTGGGAATGATTGCATTGCTTTGCCGATTTCTCTGTTATTTTGTAAGAAGTAGTGAAGATCACTTTGACGTAAGTCGGCGAATATACTTGTTATATGCTTAATTAATCTGCTTGTACGTAAAAACGCATTAGTAACCTACCTAATACTTACAAAACCTGTCTATAACATATTTTTAATTTTACAGTTGGAGAATGACGTCGAAAATTAGATAAACTTTAAAATGTGTGGCACAATCTTCACATTGGCAGGACTGAACCAAGCTTTGCGTTTCATTTAAAATAACTGTAACACGATAACCTTCTTTACGTACTTTATGCTCCGGAGAACTCGACCTTTTACTGTACATAATTCTCCATCTCTTTTTATTTGGACATAGCCGATTGCATTATCGCCGTAAGATTTGTAGAAGCCGCTGAATAAAATACGAAGTTTAACAACTACGATTTTTACATACCGTAGTAATTTAGTCCCTTTCATTTCTACACTTAAAAACTCTGCACTTTGGACAAAAAAAGTTATAACCATGTCAACACTAACTCTTGGTAAATTCCTGGAGTCTGCTTTGATAAACGCAACTTCCATTTTTATTAAATGTAAAAAACGCAATTAATATTGCCATAAAATAATATTTACTTTAACAACCATAACCTCATAGAAGTTGTCATAACAGGAGTGACGTCACTAAACGCTGATTAGTGTTTTAAAATACGTTCTGTTTCAAGTATTTTTAATTCGTAATAATTGTTAAAAAATAACATTATGTAAAATAAAAACGTTGCAGCTGCCACTGCAACGTTTTTATTTTATATTTTTTTAACATTTTAATCATAAAATTTTCATAAATATTATATATGCATCTTCCCTATTAAGACACCTGAGGGTCTAAAATATTGCCTATATTAAATATTTTTCATATATTACGATTCATTTTTCGTCATCACAAGTTGAACAAATATTAAACCGAACCGATTCTCGCAGTAATCCCCATTGGTTAAGCAAACGAATCAGTTTCTCATTCTAATTAAAAACTGCTTAACCTGACGCAGGGTAATGGGTAAACTAAGGCCCACAGGCAATCTCTGGCCGTCGAATAGTTGAAACTCAGACCAAATAAAAAGTATAGACGGAGTCTGCCGAACAAAAAAGTGAAGCCGGTTTTTTATGTATGTAGTGCATTAGCCAGTGTTACCATAGTCATTTATAATACCCCAATATTAGAAAATTGTAATAACGTTATTTCATAACTTTATAAAATATAAGAAAAAATATAGTAGGCTTATTCTCTAAACTAATCCAGATTAGTTTTACACTAGCGCTAGATGCAACCTCTCGTGAGCCAAAGGTCATGCGCTTGGAGATCTGGGGTTCCTGTGATTTATAAGTTTAATAACTGTTACACTAATAAAAGTTTAGTTAAAAAATATATAATGAAAACAAAGCTTAAACTTTGGACTTTTTGGCGGGATTTCATGGAGTGCGGTTAGCGTCATATTTTAATTATTCTTTAATTCGTTCATAGTGAATATTGTGAAATAAAATTGGTGTAATTTTGTGTTTCAACCTTCTGCACGGCTGAAGATTTATTGGAATCTTTTAAATATAAATTAACCTAAGTAACCATCTAAAGAAAAGTTTACTAGAAAAAAAAGATTTAAAGAAAGATTTAAGATTTCAACAAGTAGCAGTTAAATGCTTAAAAATAAATAAAATCATAACTAAGTAACCATATTAAGTTAAGTAAAAAAAAAAACCCTTTGGACATGCATTTTGTTTTACACGACGTAACCCTTTTGTTGTGTAGTACAAATCGTCGCTGTGAAAATGAGTCGAACAAACCACGCTGCAGGAAGCTGGTTGCCACAATGGTTCGTTTCTACTCTTGCGAATGACTACAATCCACTTCTCTTTTTAGATTTTGATCTCGATTAGGAAATCGTAAAAAAAAAGTTTAATATATAAAGTGTATTAAATCCCAAAAAAATTATACGAATATATAAAGAAAAAAGATAATAAAGATGTTTCGTGTAATTGTTTATCCATGCATTACAATATTCGAATAATATAAAAGTATGCTACACAATGTATTTAATAAAATAACGTTACGTTATATTTCACGCTACCCAACAAAAGGGTAAAACTGTAACGTATAATCATGACAGCATTTCGTTCAGGTTTTGTTTACAAAGCGACAACCTCAAATTTGAGTTTGATTAATTGAAAATATTAGTTTATAACTTTACTTACGTATGAAATTTGATTCCATCCTGTTTTTTATTCTTGGAAGATTGGTTTCTATACGTTTTCACTACACGATTCGGCATTTTCTCTAATAAATATTGTTATTTATTATTACATCACACTCCGCGCGCCGGGATAGCTCGACTGGGAAGCCAAGGCGTAGTTTCGTTGCATGTGTGTGCGTGTAACTGTGTATGTACACGGCGAGGCGTAGTTTATCCGCTTCACTTTTTTGTTCGGCAGACTCCGTCTTTACTTTTTATTTGGTCTGAGAGTTGAAATGCGGCCCGCGACAATAAGTACCATTTATTCACATGTTCCGACAAGGACCACGCCGCTGCCGAACTTATTTATTTCGCAGCAAATTCAGGGGCTTACCCTGCTGCAGAATGAAGGAAATTCGTTAATACTGAGCCATCATCATTTGACGTATCTAGTAGTATTTTTGAAGTGAAAACTTCTTTAGCACCGCTTTGATTTGAGATTCGATAAATCGGAAGTAGAGTATCGACACAAAATAGGTATCCGTAATTTTATCATTTACTATAAGTTGAAGTTAGTTTAACTCAATAGTTAAGTATTAAAGGGTTGGTAGGTGCCTCAGTTGTTTATTAATACAGGCTTAGTTTTTATCAGTAATCCTTACCTTTCCAATTGTTGCAATTTTTTTACAGTAATTTTTCATATATAAATATGTATTTCGCAAAAAAAACCTAAGAAAAGAAAAACATTATTAAAGAAGTAAAAGAAAAAAAGCTAAAAAAAATAAAACTACGTGTTCACATTTTTGAAGGTTTCACTGTCGCATGTGAACAGCTTATTTCAGTTTTTTTAATTATGAAGAACAAACTCTGGATACGCTTATCACAGACATTTTTAAATATAAACATGCGGTCATCTCCAAGTTAGTGCGTAGTTTTAATGAGCTTTTTCATTAGAACCGCAAGACATTGCTTTCGCAACAGACAGACAGTTTAAACTAATGAAGTTGAACAAGATTTCCCTAAGACAGGTGCACCCAATTCAATCCCTTTTGTTTACGCTTGATTGTTTAGCAGAATTCCTGAGATGTTGAAATTCGGGCGAACGCCGAAGTGAGTTTACGTCATGTTACTCGTACTAAGGGTACTGTACCCTTAGCACGAACCAATTTCGAATCCGTATCGTTTGCGAGTCCGAAAATTCATTGTCAAATGAGTACACATTTGACAATGACATTTCGAACTCGCAAACGATACGAATTCGATATTGGTTCGTGCTAGGGGTACTGAGCAGTTATATTTTTACGTTCGATTATTCGGACGAACTAGTTTGCCTGTCCATGACCTAGCATAAATAAATAGTAAGAATGTATATCGTGACCTTTCACCTAAAAAACTTTAAAGGCTTATTCCGCCTCAAACTTACAAGGTCATCAAATGTTTGGATTCCCTTGTTGGAAATAAAATGACGATATAATTGTCATGACATGGGTATTTTTAGTCGATACAAATCTGTTATCGTTATTTGATGGCTCATATTACTATTTAAGACTATTAATCATAACATTCTATGTTACATGAACACACATAAATTTGCTATGTACAAAGTGGTAGATGGGTAGTAACAGCCCCAGCAGGGATTTTTGGATTTACTCGAGCGCGGCAGGTTAACATATGGGGGCAACCTTGTTCCTCGTGAAGTACTACCACCATACTTAGGTATGGTGGTAGGGCTTAGGCCCTATATGTAGTGACGAACGTCTAGGGCAGCAAAAATTTCAACAAACGGCCCAGACTTTTGGTCGCGCCCAAATCGTCAGTCTTTTGAATAGGTGGTACTGGAGGGTTCACGTTACGTTTCTGAGCACGGAAAAAATATTGATGTGCTGGTTTGCATGGTGTGGCGGTGGCAGACTATAGGAAAAAAATATATTCGAGCGCGTCAGACATTGAGAAGGGATGTTATGTGAACCCTCCGGTTGCTCCTCTTAAAAAGACTGACGATTTGGCCGCGACCAAAAATCGTGGCCGTTTGTTGATTTTATTTTTGCTGCCCTATACGTTCGTCACTGCATAGAGGGCTCAGGTATGGTGGGAGTACTTCACACAAGGGGCAAGGTTGCCCCCCATAATGTTGTTAATCTGCCGCGCTCGAGTAAATCCGAAAAACCCTGCTTGGGCTCCCCTACTATAAAGATCACATAGAAAGAAGAAACAGCAATGAACTACACTTGAATGTTACTCAGTTAAGCAATAGCATAGCATAATAGTATTTATTTGGATGTTTCGTATTATTTGGATTTTTAAGGCCGGTCATAGGATACATAAAATAAAAAAAATACTATTTCGTGCTTCAGAAGGCACGTTAAGCTGTTGCTCCCTGCTGCATCCGCTGTAAATACTCAACGATATAATAATGTTAAGATCTTCACTTGTAACTAGAGTTACCATTTAGAAATTTCAAAAGTCCTGGCATTTCGAAAAAAGGCCGGACTTTTTAGTCACAAAATGGTACCATTACTCACTTAGTTACAATGGTACGGTATTTATATGAATATGTATTGTCTTTATCTTTATTGTTCATATTCAATATAATTTAGAAAATCTGGACATTTTAATGATCCAGACAAAGTCCGGACTATAGTCTAAAAGTATGGACATGTCTAGACTAATCCGGACGGATGGTAACCCTACTTGTAACCCAACATTGGCCAGATTGATAAGCTAATGATAAAGATTGTTTTATCTTCTATGACTTACCAGCTAACAAGAACACCTTCTTCCCGTAATCCTTCTCCAAATGCAGAAAATACGTTGGATACAGCCCCCTGTCCATACCCTTGCGGTCCCTCGCTATCCGGCACTTGTATAAGGTGCCGTGTTTGGCAGGCGTCACAACGAAAGTTTCCACTGCGCCTTCGACGGAACCCTCGATTTCTGCTGCCTAGACGGAATATGAAAGAAGGAATAGATGATTTGATATATCACAAAGTCGCAGAACTCATTTATGAACAATGTAATTAGCTAGAACAATTTATTCGTTATCCTTTTAACAGCTAATTAAGCCACCAGCTGCAAGATATATTATGTTTATGTATTTGTATTTTATTTTTTATTTTTTTGTTGTTCATAATTATTTATAAGTGTTATTAATGGTAGTTGCACTTTAAATGACACCATCTACTTCGCACTCCTTATATAAAAGTCCAGTTAACATACGGTTGCCTGGAAGAAATTGCTTCTTAGCGATAAGGCCGAAGTTTGTACTATTATGTAATAGTTTTAATTAATTGTCCTTTGAAATATCATGGTGTACAATAAAGTGATCATTCATTCATTCATTCAAGGGACTAATTACTTCGAATTTGTACCAAAAACCTAAGCAAAGTGTGGCTTTACCACTGTAAGTGAGTCAGTGATGCGTCGTCTATAGGTATCTGAAAAGTATTTTAGTGTTATTAAATTATTATTTTTCGTTTACGAAGGTGGCACAAATGTCTAAAGATCCAAGCAAAGACGGATAGACTGCTAAAGATGATATAGCGAAAAAAAAACTATTTTTACTTTGTAAAGCTTATCATACGGGAAAAGGAAGACATAATTGCATTTGACCAGGTTTTTATTTTACCAAAATATGAATATTATGTAGAAAATAACATAAAGATTTATCCAGTTACGTGGTCATTTAATTTAAATGTACAAATTACAGCTAAAATAGAAGAGTGTCTCAAAAGTAGGTGGGGTTAGATTTACATAAAGCACCAACCTGACTAGGCGACACGTCTCGCTTCGCAGCGCGCCCCTGCATCGGCGCCACTGCTGCGTCTGCGCATACATCGTCAGTGCTGACGTCTCTTCCCATACTGCTCACTGGTACGCTCTCTTCCTCTTCTTCGCCGCTGCCTGATCCGTCGCCAACGGTCAACACTTCTATCTGATTGCCTAGATCTACGGATGGACGTAAAGAAAATAATAATCTAGGATTATTATAAAGTTATATCACCCGACCTTCACAAGCGATGTCGTATCTTTTAGACATTGTAAAGTGCTAACGATATTGAATTTGAGTCGTCAAATAAAAAAGTGCTTGCTTCATGGACAGGTCAAGAGTATTTTATCAGTTATTATAGTGTAGGTACATTTTTGTAGTGTCTAATTGAAAAATTATCGGGAGTTATCAGAACTGTTGCCCTAATCTACATCCTTGCCTTCGGATCTGACTACTAATCCCCTGTGGTTAATCCAAACTAATATCACCCAATATAAATGTTAAAGTGAGTCTGTCTGTTACTTCTTCACAATTAAACCACTGAACCAATTATATGAAATTTGGGAGAGATACGTAGTTTGAGTCCCAGGTTTGGGTATAAGATAGTTTTTATTCCTGAAATCATCTTTTGGAAGGTGTGGAAATTTGTATGGGAATTCAATAAAACCACACAGACGAAATCGCGCGGGCTAGTATATTTTTTTTTGTCTACACTTAGGTAGAGCCTCGTAAATAGTGACATCTCACAAACTAGACGGCATGTTATATTTACATAACCAGTGTATCCTATGTGAGAACAGTATTTAAAGTACGTATGTATGTAAGTTACAGCCTTAATGAAACGCGCCGCTATGTTTATCTACTAGGAAAATTTTCAAATAATATCGTCAAGCTTTTACGTAACTTGCGTGCTTAAGAACAATGAATAATATGATCTGTTCATAAAACCAAGTGGACGAAATCACGCATTTGGTTCTTGCACACGAAACTGTTTACACAGATTTCTAATGTTATGTTTTTTACTTTATATGAAGGCTTGTGCCCCAGTAGTGGGGACATTAATAGGATGATGATGATGAATGCAATTATTATGACCTTGTGGGTATTTGAGGCATATGTTAACTCAATGAGTCTCTCTCGCGTATGGTAGGTAACAGTCAATAATCAGGAATTCGACACACTATAGCATTGCAAAATCAGGGATTATATAAAACACATGAAAAAGAAATATTAACCCATGTCAGAATATGGAAATAAACATAAAATTACATAAGAAGTTGAATGTCCTTAAATAAATTAAATGGATATCACCAATACTTATATCCATCCATCTAGTTAGTTAAATGGAAATTTAAAAAAAATGTGTAGATTACCTTTATATTGATAGGTTGACCAGTTACAAAGTGTTTAAATTAAATAGGGCTTGGGTTGGTACTAAGTTAAACAAAAAGCTAAATTTTAAACATGCTGAAGGCCTATTTCCCTGTCCTGCCGATAGGGGTACCAAATGTCTCAACCAAAATCCTGATAAAGACCTTTGTGGTAGAGGTAGAGTGGCGTGTAGACCAGTTTTCAAGGTGTCTTTTACTCAAAAAGTTCCTGGGTTCGAGACCTTTTATGATGATTTATGATGTTATTTTAATAATATAAGCATTTGTACCTAAGTCTTAGCATAGCTAGTATTATTATATTCTGTTATCCAGTAATGGAAATGTATATACAGTAAAACCACTTTAAGACGATTTCACAGGGACTCAACCAAAAACGTGTCTGAAACGGGAAAGCGCACAAAAGAATGCGGGATAGGGTAATTTCGAATGTAGGTGTTGAGGAATTAACGTCATTTTAATTAATCACTTATTTTTAGTTTGTCGAAAAGAATTTGAGGCATTAGCTTTTAAACATAATTTAACTTTTGCAGTGCGTATTCGCTTTGATTCAAAGAAATTACATAGCGTCTTAAATCATTAACTGCTGATAATGCGTGTGAAAAAAACGGAGTTGACTAATTTCACACAATTGATCATTATCACTTATCTCTTTGTGTGTTATTCACATTCTTATTGAATTTTATACCGTACCACATTGTCATCAATGGAAAAATATCCCGGAAAACCCTGGGGGCCGCTTAGCGTGTGTCGCTGGACAGTCGTCACGTCAATCGCTGACCGCTGCCGCAAGAGGTAATTAGTGTTGTTAAATTCTCGAGAACATTCTCTATGGTGAAACTTTGCGGTTAAGTTCTCGGGAACATTCTTCTGACCGAGAATTTATGAGAACTTTAAAAGTGAAGTCACTTTTCGGTAGGATTTACAATGTGGCTAATAGATGTTTATATGTATGTACGTAATATGCAGACTGGATTAATAAAAACCCAGTTATTTATATAAATTCCCGGTAAATTCCCGACTACGAGAATGTTCTCGAGAACTTTCTAGAATGTTCTCGGAAATATTTCAAGACTAATGTGATTTAATTATGATGATTTTTTTACTTTTGCATTTTTCAATGTTATTTTTATACTTATGATAAACATATATATATTGGAAAAATCAACTCCGCCCCCGGATTGATATTTCCAATATTTGTCTATTTAAAATTTATCATAAGTGATTTAAGTTATTATTTATTAGTAGAGAATAATAACAATTGTTTTGTTAAATAGTTTATTATATTTATACCAAATATCTAATCAACATTTATTAAATATATATTTAAAAACATAACTGTATGATACGAAAAGTACGAAACAAACAGAACTTAAAGGTAAATAGGTAATAAAATTAAAATTAATCTTCTAGAATTCGTCTGATTGGTCTGATTAGTATCTATATTTTCAAATTCCAGCTAATGGATCGTCATCCTCATGATCACTTATCTCCATGACGACTTCTGGTTCCTCCTCGACCACAGATATTTCTGAATCAGAGTCTAAATTAAAAGATTGTCTCAGAATCACTTGCACGATCCCCTTCATAAGATGTACTCGGTATTTCTTGATCAAATGTTTTATTTGTTCTTGAATCGTCTCTATTTAATCTTTTCAATAGTTTCCAATTATGTGATATCAGACTGATTTTGCCCGCCCGCTCCGTAAGAAATTTATTCCTTTTTTTTGTATGTATATTAGAAAACGTTGAAAAGGAACGTTCTACTGCAGCAGAAGTTGCCGGAGCGGTCAATATTTTAATCGCAGTTGTCCCTAAATTGGTTTTATAGTAAATTAATTTCCACCATGCCAATGGACTCATTTTATTGGCTGTTTGCCATACAAATTCTTTGCTCCATAGTCCAGCTCCACACTTGTAGTATGATACCTCTTGCATCAACTGTTCTATGGGTTGCTGCTGTTCTTCAGCCACTGCTATCACAAACTGCCATCCGTCAATATTCTCATTAGGTTTAAGCATGGCCCCACGATTCAGAGGATCTAACAACGTCGCAGCGTAATGTATTGGCATTAATGATATCTTTTTTCTTTGTTCATATTTTAGTTTTAACGTAGAGTGAAAATTAGCCCCTAGAATTTCTGCCCCTGTTGGATTTTGTATCAACTCATCTAATTCTGAGAATGCTTTATAATCTAAATGTCGATTTTATAACGTCGGGGCATTTGTAACAATTATTCGTTAAATGATTAGTCATTCTTGTTGCATTTCGATTTTTGTAACTTTGATTACAAAATTCGCATATATACAACACTTTTCCATTTTCATCTATTTATTTATAATAATTATAAATATTTCCCTTCGGTTTCATTTTCAATATATATTTTTTTATTCTGTTTCGTACAAGGCACTTTTGTTGATCACGTCCGAATACTTTACGGTGCGAGTCTGTACTAGCATGTGCGTTAACCGAGCGTCGCGTGCAGCAAGACGGGGAGGGGAGGTGCGGGAGCAGAAATCACAAAGAGCCGCGCGGCGCGTGTCGTTTGTCGGAATTCAAAGGTTCAACTTCAATAAAGCCGATCGCCGAGGCACCCTTTGGTGTTGTTGTAAATTGAATAAGTTGTTATGGTACAAAACGAACTAATTTCATTACAAAACTTGAAACTATATCGTTCTTATTCTACATAAATTAACATCATTTTAAGTTCTCATAAATTTCCAGTGTACCGAGAACATTCTCGGTTGAACGGAAACATTTCAGAATATTCTCGATACGAGAAAGTTCTCGATTGGAGAACATTCTCTGGTCACATCACTAGAGGTAATATGTGTGGAACATGGGCGATTTAGGCGTATTAAACAGGATGACGAATCGTACTAAGCGTTAAGAAATGTATGAAAACATGTCCGAAGTTGCAGGGATTGACGCAAAATGGCGTATTATGCGAGAAATAGTATTAAGCGTGATCATATGAAACGGGTTCTACTGTAATGTACTACAAAATATGCAATTAAGTAAAAGCTGGAGTATTACATGTAAACCACGGATATAAATCATACACCCTTTTACACTCACACAATTAACGCAGCCCCAAAGTAAGGACTGTAAGGCTTGTTTATATTATATTATCATCATCATCATCAACATCCTAACCCACTGCTGGACATAGGCCTCTCCAATTGCACTATATAATTACATAATATTATATAATTTTGTATTTACTATTTAATTACTATTTTCTATGCAGTGCTGTCTTTGACCTATTGGAGGCCCTGGGCATATTAGGATACTGGGGCCCCTATGACCCCTGCTTGGTGATTTAACATGAACTAGGGACTTTGTATTTGATCTGAGGGGGGCCTCTATCGATTGCGGGGCCCTGGGCACTTGCCCAAAGTGCTGACTGGGTAAGAAGGGTCTGCTTCTATGAAACATACCATGATCACATCGCACCTCCGGTGCGACACTGTCACTTATGCAAAAACAATTTTTTTTCAGGATGAGCGTTTAAAACTTTAGCATCCCAAAACATACAATATTTAAAGATTTTTAAGTGATGAAAAGCTTATACTACTTAGCTAGTCATCTAAAAAAAATTAAAAAAACACTTTAAATATTGTATGTTCCGGGATGTTAAAGTTTTAAACACTTCTCCTGCAAAAATGTTTTTTTTTGCATAAGTGACAGTGTCGCACCAGAGGTGCGACTTATAAACAATCATCTCATCTTTCACTGCCTTCAAGATTGATTTCCTTGAGAAAAAATTACCTACGCCCTTCACAAAAACTCAAAATCAAATGATATTGATGAGTTTTGGTGTGGTACAAAGGAAAGACGGTTGTCCAGATTTAGTTGTAAGTTTAGAGAATCGTATCAGAACCAGTTCTAATGGAACTTAAAATTTTGTAATATTAGAGTATGGATGTACATTTCTCATAAGATATTAAAAAATATTCTATAAAGTGATAAGAAATTGCGAGCTGTTAACAAAAAACAAAACAATAGAGTTCACCGAGTTTGTAAGTTAAGCAGTGAAGTCCAACATGCTTTAAACTTCTGAAAGGTAAAACATATCTTTCTGAAAGATTGGCGAAGCAAATACTCACCATCATAAGTTGATATTCTATTTGTTTGAAGTGGAATAACTTGATCTGGGTTGACAGGCGACATAAGAAATTGCATCGGACCATCATAGCCTGTTGTAAAAATAAAATGCGCGTAACAAAATTAAATGCACAACAAACATGCAACTCGCAAGAAACATAGACCAAATGAAGATTACATGAAAGAAGAACTGGTATTTGGATAGAGTCTGGACTTACCGTGGAGCTCTCTTGATCGACTACCAGAAATAGGTCGTTTAGCAGATCCCACCCTCAGATCATTGGCTTGAACCATTCCAGAGTGCTGTCGTTTCTGCTTCATTTTCTGCTCTATTAATTGACGCTAAAATCCAATTTAAACGTTTAGAGATCACTAATAAACGACATTCTAACCAGAATTAATTAAAAACTTCTTAAATCCACATTATATACAGAGAAAAATCGAAACTCACTTGCTGCTCTATTTTTTGGTCTCGAACATTGATAGAAGCCATTGTTAAGCAAACACTCAAACCGTTTTCCCTAAAACACTAACTTCATACAGATAAACACGCTAACACTATACTTTCATTTCAAAATTAATTAGAAAATTGTAAATGGCATTTTGTAAGCTCATTTTTGTTTATATTCATCTTGCCTACCGTTGCCCAGGAAAATAATGTTGCCATCTTCTTACATTATTTTACTTCTATATTATTAAAATATAGACTGGTAAGCACTTCGTGCTCTTGCATTGCGCAGTCGGGTAAAAATTGAATATTGTATAAAATAAAATACACTATTCTATTCTCCAAAATTAGAATAGGTTGTACTACTAATGTGTACACCACACCTCCTAAATTCTTTACCTTCATAACTGAAAATATTCCAAGAAAAAATGCAACTCAACTCAATTTTAGACTTAAGTCCCGTATAAAACTTTGCCTTTTGCCTGAGTAACTAAATACGACCAATATACTTTATAGACTTTACAGACAAAGAGACAAAACATTTGAGCTGAGAGTTTTTACAGTTCAGTGATTTAGAACTGGTTCTTGATTTAGTAATATTTACTTTTTAATATTCTCACGATACCGTTCGTCTATTAACCCCTTACTAGATAACTGGTAGAGAATGCCTATCGCATTAGGTCTGGCGTTCTGTTTTGATTTAATTGATAAATAAATAACACAATGGTGTCAATTCTGGCAAGATTCTCTAAACGTAAAATTAAATTTTGCAACAGTGTATCATTGTCATTTGCTATAACATTATGAAGAGGAGAGACTGATCTTATTAGTTTAGGTCAAGAGAATATAATCAGGATAGCTTCGACACTAATATTAGTCAAATAAAAATTATTCATCTTTATTTTTTTTATAATTGCAACATATGGTCATGCTGAGTGTTTGTGTGTGTGTGTGTGTAGGTATGTGAAACAAAGAATATGGTGATGAAAAGATAATTGAATAATCAAAAATACATTTAGACGACGTTCGGTGTGTGTGCGGTCAAGGGAAAATTAGAAATATAACTACAGTCGCTATTTCTTTCGAAGTGCCGGCATTAGATCATTCATATGTTGTTTTTGAAGTTATACTTCTTTAGGCGCGTTATGAAAAAATTATGAGAGTGAAATTTTTAGATGCGCCTGCATCACTGTAACCCAAAAGTAACAGCATGAAGTTGGCCGCGGGCGCGTTATGAAAAAATCATGTGAGTGAAATTTCGAGATGCGCGCGCATCACTGTAACACAATAGTAACACCATGAAGTTGGCCGCGGGCGCGTTATGAATGTTAGTGTCTAATAATGGTAGATTATTAACCACTAAGTGGTTATTATTAGACATCTGTTCGAAAGGTACTTTGAACGATCCACGGAGCTCCATAAGATGATCGCGTTGTCAAAAACAATGTTGGCACGCTTCTATATAGACACAACGTGTTTTAGTTACTTACAAGTGCTAATTACATATTATTATGGACTAATAACTTAAATTCAGTAGTGATTTTAATTGAATATTTTGAATATTTATTTAATTTTTCAAATTAAAACTGAACTTAATTGACTGTGTTAACTATCCTTTTCCAGTCCTTTTATTATTTTATTGTAATTATTAATTATTTGCATGCAATTAAAAAATATTTTTAATGATGCTAAAGAAGTATAACTTCTCACGCGCGTACATAAGTTACACGCATCCATTTTTTTTATATGTTTTTTTTTGTTAGTATAGCCAATATGAGTACTATTTGTAAAGTGCAAATATTAGAAGGCCTCCGTGGCTCGAGTGATTTGTATGTACGCCGGGTTTCAAAGTGTCGCCGGCTCAGAGGTTCCCATGTTCGAATCTTGGTGAGGCAAATGTTTGTGTGACGAATACGAGATAAAAATACTTATATTATGTATAAGTATATTAATTATATTCGTTATTTTATAGTGTTCCATAACACCAAGCCTTACAGTGCTTACTTTGGCACTAGGCTTATTGGTGTGTGTTAGAAAAAGTAAAGTATATTAATTATACTTAATTATTTTAACTTTGATTAGATCTTGTTACTGTGCAGCGAGTGTAAATCCCTCAGATCGCATTTGTATTATTTTTAAATAATTATTACAATTTTGAGTGTCCTGGCGGGGAAAGATCACTAGTCGAGACAAGCCGAAAAGTTACAAAGGTCTACCTGCGTGTGATTGTGTCTGACAATTAGAGATGGCGTTAATGGTTTGAAAATTTTAAGTTAAAAGCTAATAGTTCAATGAAATATAAAATAATTTAAAGGTTAAAAGTATTAGAACTATTTTTATTCAAATACAATATCTCAATATTTTTACAAGTAAATAACTTTATTAGTTTGGTCAGTGATTGAAATTATTCATTACGAAAATTTATCAGTCGCTTTCATTTATATATACGTATAAATCTTACTCTCACGTTAAAATCAACATGAATGGGTTGAATATTTTTATTCAATATGGTTAAAAATATTTATCAAATATGTGTATTTTTTTTATTAGTTCATGTATTTATCAATACATGTATTTGACAAAACTAGCGCCAATGCCAATGCGAGCGTCACCACCACTCAACTCAAATATCACTCTCACTCTCACACCCGTACCGTGACAATAGATATTTCACATTAAAATTACGAAGGTATTCAGGCGTAGGGTTTGTAAATGTTGCTGATTTAAAAAGGGAAATAGGTACATTGGTGCACATGTTCTGATGCGCAGGCAGGGCAAGGGCAGTCTACTGTAAAATTTTTCAACTTTAAGCAAATAAGAATAGCCGAAAGAAGTTCTAAAAAAATAAACTATCTGATTTTAATAAATAATTATTATGTTGATTTATAAATCGGATACACTTTTGATTTTGAAACTTATAAATGAATTGAATTATTACTATTCAATTAAATTGCACGGATGAATTAGGAACTCATTTTAGCTGTCTGCTGTCATTGATTGAAAATTTACTGTCATTTCTTTCAAGATGGCTCCGACCCGGAGTATCTTAGGATTTTTAAATCCGAAGACCATTAGTGCAGTTATTTCTAGTAATATATCAAAAACTTCCTGTAGATTTGTACTCAAGTGTAGCAATTATTGTGACCATAGGCTAGGGGCATCTATTCTTTCTGGTGCCGGTCTAGGTCACAGAAAAATTAAGTGTAAGTTTTACATGCTTTTATTACATCACCTGGCTTATTGTATGTAATGTAACTACTGTAATAAGATTAAACAATGGCTTATTGTCAAAACTACCGTATCTTGTAAAATACAGAATTAAGATTACCTAAAGAAGCGTTCTTAAAATGTGTACTATAACCTCAAAATAATATTTGTAGATGTCGCAGCAAACCACTATCGATATATTCACACTACGAACAATTTGAATGCTAGAGCAGACTACTACAAAGTTCTCGGAGTGTCCAAAAATGCATCTGGCAAAGATATCAAGAAAGCATACTACCAATTGGCCAAAAAGTATCACCCTGATGCAAACAAATCTGATCCAGAAGCTTCAAAGAAGTTTCAAGAAGTTTCTGAGGCATATGAGGTAACAATCATTATTCAGTTCAATGCAGTGTTATTGTTATATTTTATGGGTTATCATTTTAAAATGTGTTTAAAAACATAATTCACAGATCCTATCAGATGAGTCAAAGCGTAAACAGTATGATACTTATGGTACAACGTCAGAGCAAATGGGCATGGGTGGAGGACCCAGTGGTGCTGATGGGTTCACACACCAATGGCAATACAAATCTACTATAGATCCCGAAGAACTATTTCGCAAGATATTTGGTGATGCTGGATTCAAAAGTGAGGCTTTCAGTGACTTTGCTGAAAGTCAATTTGGCTTTGGGGCTGCTAAAGAGGTATGTTAATGCATTTGCCAAGTTATTTATAATAAAATGTTTTCTTTTATTTTTTTTGTGGGACAGTAAAGCATACCTAGTTCATAGAACCTGTGTCACCAAAAAAATTATGAAGAAAACTGTAGCACAGAATGTCTACTCATACCTAAGTATCCATAATACTATATTTGGCATTGTTTGTTTATTTGGCATTGTGGCAAGTTGCCAGCCTATTGTATTGTGATAAGTATTTTTGCCTAAAGCTCATGCAAAATCTACCAAGGAGTACTCTTACCAGTTCTTGACAAAGTGTCAAATAGTTATCTGCCATAATGACACTGATAAATCAAACTGACATAGCTGCTTTATCTGCCCCAGACATTGGCAGAATCGTCACATTATGAGACATAGCCATAATCACCAAAAATTGAATTGAATTGCTTTATCTGCTAGCTTTTTTTTTCAAAAAGGCAAAGACAACCAAAATTAGTTTATCTGTCTGCTGTTCTGAATAAACTATCTGGTACTTTATTTGCAAGAGGTAAAACGGGCCTTACTTATAATAAAGGTTGTAGAAGAAATCTAGTGCTCAGCTGTAAGACATGATTAGTTTTGCTCATTTTTCAGGTGATTGTCAATCTTCGTTTCACTGAAGCTGCTCGAGGTGTGAACAAAGATATAAATTTGAATGTGGTAGACACATGCCCTAAGTGTCAAGGCTCCAGATGTGAGCCGGGCACTAAGGCCATCAAATGCACATACTGCAATGGCACTGGCATGGAAACTTTTTCAAGAGGTGGGATTAATATTGAAAAAGACACTATGGAACAATTTTGTTGACACCAATACTACTGATCATTATAGATTATTTTCTTTTTCCATAAAAGTATAAAATATACCTTAAAAAAAACTTTTTTATGGAATATTTTTGCATTCAGCAGTTTTTCTATATTTTGCCTTTTCAATCATGGTTGTTTGTTTCAAAAGAGATTATTTTTTCTGAATGTATATATTCATAAATCAATATATTATTCCTATTTGTTGTTCTTTAATGAGGATTTTATGCTTTCTGCATTCAAAGCTAAATCTAGTTGTTGATTCTTTAAACACATACTTGCTGAAATATATACCTTTTTGTGAAGTGTAATACTTATTTGCTGTTCACAGCTGTATATTCTTATCATGCTCTGTAAGGAATGAAAATGAGACTGCTGTAAAATTTTAAATAGCAAATACAACTATCAATGTCAAGTACGCCGTTATAGATTAGTAAAATCACCAATACAGATTATATCTAAAATATAAAGTGTATTTTTATAGGACCCTTTGTGATGCGTTCCACATGCCGACACTGTCATGGGACCAGAATGCTAATTAAGTTCCCTTGCGTAGAGTGCGAAGGGAAAGGGCAGTCTGTATGTATTTATTTATTATTGTATTCTCAATATCTGAAGAATCTTTATCATTACTTTCATTGGATTTATTTTACATTTACAAATATTTTCAGGTTCAACGCAAAAAAGTCACAGTCCCTGTACCAGCGGGGGTAGAAGACGGACAGACAGTGCGAATGGCTGTTGGCAACAATGAAGTTTTTATAACATTCAAAGTTGAGAGTTCTACTTACTTCAGAAGAGATGGCCCAGACGTCCACACTGATTGCTCGGTGACTAGCATTTTCTCAATTTATATTAATTTATGGGGTTTTATAGTGAATTTGGCTGTGATTTAAAGGAAACCTACCACAAAGCTACAAAATCATAAAGCATTTGTTATTGTTGTATTAGTATAAGTTTTTGTCTGGAAATAAAAGTTCTACTCCTTTAAACCAATTTTATTGTTGATGTTAATATCATCTGGCTGATATTTTAATATATTTTCTTTCCTTCCATTTAAATTAGGGAGGGAGTTACAACTAAATTACCAATGAACTCAAATAACAATGATTTTCTTATCAACAGTCAATATTTGTGTTTAAATGTAACATTTTTTATTTCAGATATCTGTATCACAAGCTTTACTTGGTGGTACAGTTAGGATTCAAGGCTTATACGAAGATCACACTTTACAGGTATGTTTATTATTCTATATCAAAAATAATGTAGGCTTAAGGGCTGATTTCTCGCATACAGACTTTGAGAACAATCTAAATAATATAGAGAGAATAGGCAAACTTCAAGTATATGTTACAAATCCACAGAAGCTTTATCTCGATATTGTATATATCAATCTGATGATTCGCATAATGAAAGTAGTGTATAATTGTTTTTTACACCTTTAATTAAACGCGATTTATGTTCGTCCTGTTTTATCTTTTATATTTATTAAACGTTATTAATTTAAACTTCAGTTATGCTGATATTATAATCCATGAAAAATCCCCTGAAAAACCAAACTGAATAGCCTTTCCATTTGTTTCTTTCTTGATGAATATGATTATGTTATACTTATATGGTTGTCTTGTATCTTAGGTAAAGTATGCGTTTAAAAAATAAAATCATTTCTAACATTTTTTGCACTCTTTTTCACAGATAATGCCATGTACTTCTTCACATAGTACCATACGTTTGTCAAGAAAAGGCATGAAACGCGTCAGTCAACATGGATACGGCGATCATTATGTTCATATTAAAATACAGGTCAGTATTCTTGATTATTTAGGTTTTATATTATGCTAAAGTATCTTATAACTTACACTATTGAATCTTAAGTTTGACGACCTCCGTGGTCGAGTGGTTTGTACGCCGGGTTTCATGGTGTCGCCAACTCGAGAGGTCCCGAGTTCGAATCCCGGTGGGGGCAGATGTTTGTGTGATGAATACGAGCATTTGTACTCCAGTCATGGATGTTTAATATGTATTTCTATATAAATATACTTATTATGTACTGTATATGTATTCTATCCGTTACCCTAGTATCCCATAACACAAGCCTTACAGTGCTTACTTTGGGGCTAGGCTAATTGGTGTGAGTGTTGGAAATATTTATTTATTTATTTAAGTGTTGGACACAAAGTTTACTTTAAGTTACTTTTTAGAACATTTTGTTCTGTCTCAACATGATGCTATTTCCTCTGTACAGTGTACGTTTTGCATACAAATAGCCATTGGTAGGGTTTTTATTAGGGTTTCACAAGTCTTTAAGTCCATTTGTTATCTTTGGGTGAAATGACGTGTGGTGTTATGGATTCCTATCAACGATATTAAATATCCTAGATACACCACGTGCGCTCAAAATGTGTCCCAATCAAGAAGTGCTTCAACACCACTCAAGCACTTCTCGGTTCACAGTCACGTGTGGATCGTTGAAAAGTCAAGATACCACAGAGCTCCGTGAAAATTTCGAAAAAAATACTTATAGTACCTAAAGTGTTTTTTTTCAGGTATCTAATCAATGTTTGTCAATTAAACGCATTTAAAGCAAATCTTGTTCTAATACTTACTATAAACTGATTAAATAGAAAATATTTGTAATATTCAAATGCATGGTCGGTAATATAGCCGTCTCTTTTCCTCGCGGTCCGTACCTGCTGTATTGCTAACAGCGCATTCAGAATTTCGTGTAGAGTCAAAGAAATAAGGTCTATATTCTTCCGCATATAGCAATAAATCGTAAAATTTTACGAGCTTACAGTGCAGTAGTAAGATTATTATTATTGAATTCTATAAATACACCATATCTCTTTGTTATAGGTTTCTAAATCGCTCAGCAGTAAAAATGTTATTGAATTCTGAAAATAAACCTTATCTCGTTGTTTCAGGTTCCTAAATCGCTCAGCAGCAAGCAGAAAGCACTAATTTGCGCGTACGCAGAGCTCGAAGAAGATACTCCGGGGCAAATTCATGGAGTCTCGTACGATCGTGATGGTGAGAAACGTTGAATGAACTTTTTGAACCAAAGTTACAAATTCTCTACTCTCACCTCTAAAACATGTTTAAAAAATGAATGCTTTTTAAGATGCTAAGTTTGTACGTTTTCCTATAGATAGAGTAAAAAATAAATAAAAAGTAATTCAAGTTATTTATCAAGTTTTTAGCGAGTTTCCGATATTTAGATACTGTTGCCAGCGCCATGATCACTGAGTAACTATCGTAAACTCACTAAAATCAAAGATGCAATCACGCAAATAACACAACATACTATAAGAAAGAAATTGTCATTCAAATTCTGATAATATTTCAGTACTTATTGAGTAAATTGGATGCTTACTGCGAATGGCATATTTTAAAAGCTTATATGTTGAATGGTATTATTAAACAAATTGATTTTAAAAGTTCGCCTATAAAAAGAAAATAGCCAAGCTTGTAAAGCCAGAAAAGAAGAAGTAAAGAAAGTCTTCTTGAAAATAGAAATATCTGTTGTATCTGAAGAGTCCAACGTTATAGATTTGTGCTTAAAAAATGCGTTCTGCATGCCAAAAAATAAAAGTTCAATAGTATCTATATCAGTTTCATCATGTTTATTTAATTTTTTTTTGCTTTAGATTCCTCTGTAGTACGATAAATACACCCCAAACATAGTCATGCCAAGTTAAAAGCCGATTTATTTTGCAGACGGCACCAAAAGCACTGGTAGTACGAACAAAACTAGTGGTACCGAAAACATACACCGTTTGAATCGAGATCCCGGCGATACGGGACATGACCGAGCCAAATATTGGGGTTTTCTAGAAAACCTCGCTGACACTTATAGGGATAATCAGCCAGCATTTCTATTAGGATTTTTCCTGTCTGTATTCTTTTGTTGGTTGGCTTTTGTGAACAATTCGAGCGACAGGAAAAAATTGGATGAATATATTCGCGAATGGGAGAATAGGGAGGTTCGTGAGGTGGATAAACCTATTGGTTATGAGAGAGCTATCCAAAGACAGAGGGAACAAAATCCAGAGTTTTATGAAGCTTGATGTGTGCGAATGAGTCATAACTTGTTTAGGTAATCCAATTTATAGAAGTTTCTTTAAATCATTTGGAAGGTTAACGGGGATGTCGTGAAGTTTAAAATGGTTTGACATTGAAAATTAATATTTAGTGGTGTATCTTAAATGCTGTTGACTGTACTTACTTAGAAATATTGCATGAGTATATGTTGTATCATGTAATAGAGCAATGGAAAAATAAAGATATCAATTCATGATGTACTTTAAAGCAAAAGCTAATCTACATGCTAAGTACGAGCTGTAAAACTTGTGTTGGTATATAAATGACCTCTATCCCCATTGTAGTGAGGCAACAAGTGTGCTTTTGAAAGTGAAAGCGCCTCTATAACCGGCATTTTGAATTACTTGTAGTATTCCGAATATAATTCCGTAGTTTATTTATAAACTAGTACGAATGAATCGAACTTTGGAAGTGATTGACTGTGTTAGTAAATATTTAATTTTACCATGGAATATAGTATGATGGTCTCAAAATATATATTACATCGTTTTGAAAATTTGTAAATATCTTTTATGAATACACGAAATTTATTATGTTCGTTTGTTGTTTCATTTGTATTCCCTCTCACCATCATGCTATAGGCCGCTAAATTGAACCTTAAAAGCTCTCCATGTTGCGCATGCACAGATTATAAAATTCTACTTTTATTTTCATTTTAGATGAGAAAAAAATATAACCAAAGACAAGGATATTTAGTGAGTTTGCGTTTTCAATTAGTACAATTTGAAGTAGATACATGAACATTAGCGTATTAGACTTGATATAAATAAATAGTCAAAAAGTCAATTGGAAGTTCATAAAGAGTTTTGGTAGTCCATTAAGTAAATCTGTTCAGTTGTTAAAAAAAGGGTTATTTCCTATTCATAACATTTATGTTATGTTATTAGTAGGTCTATTTTAACTCCTCTATACCATCTTTATTCTAATAGAACAGAATAGAATCATTGTAGCCCCCTTATGTCTAAATTCAACTCTTATTAATATACCCTCCTTTTGTTAGCCGTTTAGTTAACAGTTATATATTTTTTTAAATTTAATTGCTAGATGTTTAATTCTAAAGAAGTCCCGTCTGCTGCCTGGTCCGCGTGGATTTTTTTCTAGTATAATTTGATGTGTACAAACTTCAAATGGGTTTAAAGTTACTGGATAAACTGCTATCAAGCGGGTGGGGCGTAAAATGTGCGATCAACACGCCGATTATGGGATTGGTTGGCATTTCCGTTTAAAATTATCTTATCCAATGAATGGATCGCCGAATTCAATTGCAGATATTTGCATTCTCAAATTATTTTGTTTTTTTGTTTTGTTAGGTTTTCATGTGCGTGAACTCTCATTAAATAAAACTAGTTTTTACGGGTTAATGCACGAAACTTTATTTATTTATTGACTTTCTTAGGTTTTCACGCACATCACTCATTAAATAAAACTAGTTTTTACGGGTTAATGCACGAAACTTTATTTATTGACGTTTCGCAGCCTTTTCAGGTCTGCATCGTCAGAATAAAATCGTCAGAATTATTCTGACGATGCAGACCTGAAAAGGCTGCGAAACGTCAATAAATAAATAAAGTTTCGTGCATTAACCCGTAAAAACTAGTTTTATTTATTTATTTATTGACGTTTCGTAGCCCTTTACAGGCTATGTCGTCAGAATCAAACTTTTATTTAATTTGTCGAGCTACCTTCGAAAGACTTTTATTGAGCGATCGGTTATTTCATTGTTCGATTTTTAAAGTTTTATTGTCTATGTATGAATTTATTATTTAATTTACTTAATAAAGTATTTTATTTAAAATTCTTTTTTGTAATTTTGAGTTTATTTATTTGACCCTAACTACCGTAAACTGCCACCGGTTCCAAAATTGGGAGACCTTTCTGAGAAGAACCGGCGAAACAAACTCAAGAGAGGCTTTCTATCTCCTTCTTATGTTAAATTATGCAAACAAAAAGAACTAATAGTATTTGTTGGTCTTGCAGTGTGTGCTCGGGGTTGGGATTTTATCTCCTGTATAATGGGTTCCCAAGCTGGTGGTATATACCAACCATCTTCCCTATTGAAATTTAGATATTTTTTAATCTCAATAGCCTCGCGTATCATTCTAGGAACGAATCGTTGCTCAGTTGCAAGGATCTGTGGTTTATCAAATCTAATGTAATGGTTTGGTCCCCCTAATGCATGTTTAGGGTCCAATAAATAAATAAAGTTTCGTGCATTAACCCGTAAAAACTAGTTTTATTTATTTTGTTTTGTCTGTGTTCGTGTCGCGTTAGTTTTGAAGTTAAGTTGTGAATGCGGAACCGTGTTTTCGCGGCCTTTGTTAGGAAATTGTGAAACTTTTACCCCCGTATTCATAAACGAAGAATAACTTCAATTAGTTACTCCATGTGTTGTCTCTGTTCACTGAACGACAAATGGCATTTGAGTCATATGAATACAACACGCCGAAACTAGGTTGAACTTATGCTTCCTTTATTATGCGGTCTGTTTTTCCACGTATGCCATTGCTCTCATCTCATAATTTTACAGTTTAACGCAAAGTAATGTGTAATTAACAAAAAAATATCGATAAATACAGAATATCACACTTATTTGAAAAATGTAAATATGTGCGAAGTGGAAATGACGATTGTGAAAAAACCTACCGCAAAACCCTAGTAGATTCACCCCTTCCATATAATTTCTAATTCGTTGGTTTTAGGTTATTCATACTTTTTAAATGACAAAGTGAGAGGTGACAGGTGTTGTAATAGGGTATTATTATTATTTACTAAAGTGTATAGAGTCGATAAAAAGTGGATATTTTTAATTTTGTAGTCTTAAAAAGTCTAAATTAAAAATTCAATTTTCAAGTTGCCACCAAAACGTTTCTCTGGGCATTATGGCGTCTTGCTAGTATGTGACGTCACACGACTGTCCTTTAACACGTCAAACGATACAATGCCGGTATAAATAGTTTGGCCGGTAGTTTACTAGCGTGTGACGTCATTTTAGCCTTGGACAGTCCCAGGCCTTTTCGGTCACGTGAGTATGGAGCAAAATATGATATCTACAATTGGTTCATTATTTTTCATACTGTCAAATAGCCTTTAGCTATTTCACTAATTACAATAATTCTAGGATTGACGTTGATAGAACAAACGGCGTTGATTTGCTGTGTATTCCTTAAATGAAGAACTAAATGAAAAATAGATTCCATCGTCGGTGTTACTTTTGTACAGTAAACAACACATAGTTGCTGCAGAGTCTCGGAATTTTCTTGATAATTTTTTAATGTTGTATACACCCCGGCAAACTTCTTGAGCAACGACCATAGACAAGGAAGACTGCAATTTTGCGCAAGTTTATTTGTCTGTGGTTTTGAATGAATGAATATACATATATTCTTTATTGCAGTATACACAAAATACATAAAACACAGGAACGCCAGGCACCCTTTGGCTAAATGAAACCATACCATGAGAATAGAAGAAGAACAGTGGGCTAGTGCATTGTAAAAATAAATCAAGAAACGTAAATATAAGAATATAAAATAAATAAAACTAGTTTTAACGGGTTAATACACGAACTTTATTTATATAATGACGTTTCGCAGCCTTTTTAGGTCTGCATCATCAGAATAATGATTTTTTATTTACTTTGTCAAGCTACCTTCGAAAAACTTTTATAGAGCCTTCGGATATTTCATTGGAAGTTTTTTAAAACTTTATTGTCCATGTATAAATTTAATTAATAAAGTACTTAAAATTTATTTTTATTTAAAATTCTTTTTTGTAATTTTGCGTTTATTTATTTGACCCTACGGTAGTTAGGGTCTAACTACCACCAGTTCCAAAATTGGGAGACCTTTCTGAGAAGAACCGGCGAAACAAACTCAGGCTTTCTATCTCCTTCTTATTTTAAATTATGCTAAGTAATAATATTAATATAAAATAAGTTTTGCTCAAGAAGTTTCCCGCTACCTATACCAAACAAAGTTATGCTCATATCAGTTGGAGAAATGTGTAAGATTTGGATAATTAACCTTGCTGTCTGTGGAAAGACTATACTCCACTAAAATGAATAGCAGAATGTGCGTTCTATGATTTTCATTTGTTTCCAGTCCAGGTTTTGCTTATGCTAACGAAGGTTGTCCTCAAATGAATTTGTTAGGAATTTAAAGAAAATGCAAATTTATGGAACAGGCACCATTTAGGCAATAAAAATTAAAATGTGTATCATTTCAAAATACAATGCTGCCTAAATAAATATTAAAATGGGATGTCTCAATCAGATCAGAGCCACTTGTGCCAGTTTTAATTTAAAATTAGATATAATAACTCTGTAAACCTCATTTTATCAGTTGACAAAGATGTATTGATGTTTTAACTGGATTTTGCTAATATTTCGATTTCAAAATTGGCGCAAGTGGGCCTTATTTTCTGAAATATGTATTTAAATTAGATTTTACTGCCCTGACACAAGTTCGATTAACTCTTATTAAAATACGGCACATATTCAAATGATCATCAAACAAATAGTAATTGATCATCAAAAATACTATTGGTAACCTAACCCTACCTTTAGGTTATCAATTGTATTTTTTTTCAATTAGACCATTATGATACCGCAGCCCTGACGGCCGTGTCGAATTGTTAAAAACATAACTAATATTGCTATTTCTTCTTTCAAATGTTTAACACTTGTAAAGGTATTCATTTGTCATTGTGGGTTACCTACAATGCGAAGAGATGGCGCTGCCTTGCAGCCTAAGGCTAGAGAAAAATTCGACACAACCGTCGGGGCCGCGGTAGCATAATGGTCAGTGCATTCGCCCGGATAGCGAAGGGTGGGGGTTCGTGTCTCGTTTGTTGACTGGTCCGCGTAGATTTCTTTGTAGTAAACTTTTCTTTAGGTCTGAACCCTTTTTCTATCTCTTTCTTACAAAGAGAGACACCTTTACAAATATCCAATCCCTTTTTAGGTACGAGGGCGGGATGATAAGTAACTAGCCTCTGCTATTTAAAAAGTTAAAATTTGAAAAATATATAAGTCATTTTCAATTCGTGGCTCTGGCCACATGTGTTCTAAATTTGAATTTGGTGGCGCGAAAATTTTATTGATTTTTTGTCATTTGAAAATATATTACGTCACCTGTTTTCAAAATGGATGAAATTGAACATTGAGTCCACTGTTTTGATTGAATTTTTGATTCTGGCATGTAATGATGAACCCATGTCTCATCTGTTGTTACAAATCGACGTAAAAAATCGGCCTTATTACTCTGAAAACGGTCCAGACATTCTTTTGAGTTTTGCACCCGAATCCTTTTTTGATCGTGCGTAAGCAATCGCGGCACCCAACGGGCCGATAACTTTTTCATATTTAATTCTTCACTTAGGATATGATGTACCCGTTCTTTTGAGATACCTGTAGTGTTAGCTATTTCAGATAACTTGAAACGTCGATCTGCTAAAACCATATCATGTACTTTCACGACCATTTCCGGAGTCTTGACGCTTTTTGGACGTCCGGGGCGGGCTTCATCTTGGACACGTGTACATGTACCGCGTTAAAACTCAGCCACCCAGTTTTTTACTGTGGCATAAGAAGGAGCACATCACCCAAAACATTCTTTAACTCGTCATAGATATCTTTCCCCTACATGCCCTTCATATGAAGAAACTTTATCACCGCTCTTTGTTCAATTTCATCCATTTTGAAAACAGTTGACGAAATATATTTTCAAATGATAAAAAATCAATAAAATTTTCGGGCCACCAAATTCAAATTTAGAACACAGGTGGCCAGAGATACGAATTTAATTTTTTTTTTATAAAATGACATATATTTTTTAAATTTTAACTTTTTAAATAGCAAGGCTAGTTACTTATCATCCCGCCCTCGTAGTAAGTGTATCGGATGGCGCTTGCTCTGAATATTTTTTCTGACAAATCCACAGGTAAAAAGATATCAGTATCGGAACCTCACGACTTGGTTGACGCAGTGAAAGAGGCCCTCAAAGAGAAGAAGTCCATACAGGGCAGTTCTTCAGACCAAACACCATCAGACGACGACGTCTTGAAGGAATCCAAAAGAAGCAAGGGATAGACCCGACACAATACCATGTAGACCGTAATTCTCAAGCGATAAGACCCATTATCGAAGCTGTGTATTCCAATTTTTAGCCAATTCTTATTAGCGTCTACTCCGCGTTGTCTATAAATGCAAATTTGTATTTTTTATTTTATTGTGAGAGTTTTTTTTTATAGTGTAATGTTTAAGTTCTGCAATCTGATAGTAATTATAATCTGGAATTCCAAAATTTTCTACTAAAAAATAAGATACTAGGTGGATTTTTGAATAAACGCAAATATGTTTGGCGGGTGTTCATTGAAACGCAAACATAATTGTAAAATATCTGGAAAATACTATGAATATTAGGTACAAAACTGTGATACATTGTGTAGCCAATGCAGATGTTTTAAGTTTAGACTATTTTCTGTTTAAGTAAGTCTGATGCTTTCTTTGAAAATGTCATAACACTCGCCTTGATTTATTTCTGAATACTGATGGTTTATTTTTGATTATGCAAAATTAATTTGGAAATAAACAAATTATGCTGTAAATAGCCGTTGACTAGTTGGTAGGTAAATAAAACAAGAAATTATTTAGATTTTGTTTTATTGCATTAACCTTATCTAATCATTTGAATTTCTTTAAATATATTAATTTATTACGACTTCTTTGAAAAAATACAGTAGGAAAAGTATTAATAATTAATGAATAAACTAGTTATTTTGTAGTTACAAGTTACAGTTACTTAGTTTTTAAGGGCGTACACTGCTTAAAGCAGGAGCGTCCGCCCCGCGTGTATGTTCATGTTATTTCATAGAGCTCTGCTGCATGAGGCGGGTTTCCCGTAGCAGCGCTGTTCTATGAAATTATATGAAACTGCACACCTCCCGCTTAACGCAGCGTAGGCTCTATTGTCAAGTACCTGACGATATGGGGAGGCGTTATAGATCAACTGATCTGATTGTGGTGTATGTGGAGTATGTATTCCTCTCTGTTTGTATACCCTTTAGTAGTGAGGGGCCCTGTTTGGGAAATGCCTTACGTATCCTTCAACCACTGGGGGACCGAGAAGAAGGTATCAGGGCCTCCCTGTTCATTTCAACCAGCCCTGAGGCTCGTTAAAATGAACAGGGCCAGTAAAAACCAGACAATGTCTCTGCACCGTGTCGCCCGATCCGCATTGCTATGATCGCGGTGCATACAATGCGGATCGGGAGGTAGTGCGATGACCGACGTTTCCACTGTCCGCGCTCACAACAGTGAGCAAGGTTGCCAGGACAACCGATTTTACAGGAGATCTCCCGTGTCTTTAGAATACGACTTTCTTTTTAAAATGTTGAGTTGCGTTTTCCGCCATTAAGAATGTAGGTAACCTTAATTACAATAAAATAAATATGTTATTGTAAAAAAAAACGAGCTTTGAGGGGCAGCATAAGCCTCAGAAACACATTCGTTACTGACCTATATTTTGATTTACCACTTCTAATGCAAATCGGAAAAAGTACGCTTCTGTATCTACCGTTTTTTTATACCGAGGTAGGCTAATGACTCTACCCCACTTGATGATAAAGTCCAAACGCGAAGATAACTGGTACAGTAGTTATAAACTGCTACACCAAACATCCTCACCTTGCCGGCCTGCAAAAAGGCTTCTTCACGCCTCTCTTAAAGGACCCCAGATTACAGGAAGGAGGGCACACGTGCGCGGGTAAAGAATTCCACTTACGAATAGTACGACAAAGAAATGAGTCACCAAATTTTGGTTCGTTTAGGAATAGTGGTTACAGTAAGTAGGTGGCAATGTAGGCCAGCGCGCGTGGTCCTCTGAAGAAAAGGTGATGGAGGGATAAGGGCTAAGAACACTCGCCGTGGTATAGTCGGTAGAATGCGCTTAATGATGTCACATCGCGGCGTAATTTTAAACACTCGAGTTTCTGAGTTACCTCTTCATCGCCAATGATGCGGGCAGCGCGCAGCTGCAACTTATCCAAGGCATCGAGTAAGTACTTAGCGGAGCCATCCCAGAGGTGCGCGCAATATTCTACGTAGGACCGCACTTGCGTTTTGTACAACAAACATAGTTGATCATCGGCCGGGTGGCGGCGCCCTGGGACAACGAAGGAGTGGAGGCCCCCTTTCCCCTCTCCGTTGGTGACCCGTCGGAATACGGTTACTTTTCATCTATGTTGTAGGAGGCCCATCCTCTTTCGTGGATGCTGCCGTGCCTTAAATCCGGCCCGGAGGCCCAAACACGAGTTTTTGACATCGCATAGTTAAAACTAAGCAGCGCCCCAATCGGACGCCAGAACAAAGTAGCCTTTTTTCATAAAATTTGACGATGACGATACATTACGGAGCTGTCAAAAGTTCAGGCTTGGGCCTCTGTTCGATCGGTGCAAACGATATCCGATTATTTCTCTGTAGCGAAGAGTCTGTATTTGTCTGACATGACGCTCACAGTGGCGTTGCTGTGCCGGCGCAGCGTCGCCAACGAGCACGCGAGTAGCGTCATCGCGCCCTCCACGTACAATCCGTACATTATACGCACGTAGTTCTCTACCTGCAATTACAAATATAGCTATTACGTATGTTACGTCGTCCAGTTCTAAGGCGCCTTTCTCGGCGAATCGTTTCGTGTATGTTTTTATACTGAATCTGTACAGATTATTTAGCCAGATCTTGACTGGCTCGGTTTCGGTGTGGTATAGTTTCGTTTGCTAGGGTATTTGTCATTTATTATAATGTCGTCATGACAAGAGGGCAAGTCGAATGGTTCGGCTGGATTCGGTGCAGAGAGGTAAGTATGCACTCGGTAATGAATCTGTACAGATTCAGTACAGGAACGAAAACGAAACTATACCGCATCGATCCGCTGAGAAAGGCAAAGGTGTAATCGCTTCCGAGTGAAAGCCTTCGCGGCAAGAAGCTTCTTTAGGTGGTTTTTAGTCAGCAAGAGTGACATAACCAATCTTGCAAAGGCAGCCGGTTGTGTGGTACGACACGAAACTAGAGCTGACCGTTATTGCGCAGAAGTAAAAATTAAGATGTCATGGGGGGAAATGAGGTGTGCGGGTGGGCGTGCGTTGCGCCGATTGGCTCTCCAGTCGTACCTATGCGCAGCTATCCCCTCCGCGTTTTGTTCAGCGCTAGAGTTACGTGCCGCAACCTGTATGTCTTGAAAAGTTCCCACTATTAGATAACGTCCTTCGGGCGTAAAACCAGCTAGGTAAGTACTACAACTCAGTTATATTGAAATTATGGCTGAGAATATTATGGCACATGGCAACTGCCAACAATCTGCTTTGAGATTTTTTGCCTTCTTCGTCTGCTCTACAAGAAAGGCGTGAGCAATTGAGAATCACAAAAAAGATGAAAATATATAGGTAAATAATGCTGATAATGGGACAAGTTGGTAAGTATTATAAAGAAGTGCTAATTATTTCTGTAATTAGTACCTAGTTACAAATTAATGTGTATAACTTATAAACCCCATAGGAGGCGTTGCAGTTGTGTTGTAGGATTCATTTAAATTTTAATCGGATACAACGTCTGTCTGGTGCGCTATTTAATCATATATATGACACATAATCTACTCACATGCTCCAGACCGCCTGTAGTTGTAAATTCCAATGGGAACATGACAATCTCCAGTGGTCTTCTATCGCGCAGCAGGCCAAACGATATTGCACCCACAGAGTAGTAGGTTAAGGTGACAAGTGGCACGCACCGGCCGAGAGCCACCACGTTGAAGAGACACTGCGAATTGATTATTTACGTCACGATGATTCTATTTGACGTGGTAACCGCTTTGATGAACTGCCTCTGGGATAATTGAGAGGGCTTGCAGTATAAACTTGGGTTAAATTAGCTAATCAATAATTTAGGGTCATTTTAATCAACATTCTTTAATCAAATACGCCATCGCCAATTATAAAAAAATGTTCGTAGTCAACTTACTTGCCTGACCAAAGTTTTCTACATCATGCACGTCGAAACTCCAACGAATACAGTAGAGTGATAGAGAGAGAGAATCAAGTTTAGACACGATTTTTTATCTAAAGAAAATTTTACTAGAAAAAAAATCCATGAGGACCAGGCAGCAGACGGGACTCGAACCCGCACTTTCTAGTATTTCTTAGGCTGCATGGCAACGTTATCTTTTGGCATTTAAGATAACCTACAATGTTAAACAAAATTAAATACCTTTACAATATAAGACATCAGAAAGAAGAAATAACAATTGTAGATTTAATTTTACTTTTTAATCATTTCACTGTTACATTTTTAAATCTAATCAAAATTTTACTAGAATAAAACCCACGCGGACCAGGCAGCAGACGGGACTCGAACCAGCACCCTCCGCTATCTGGGCGGATGCACTAACCAAAATATCTAGCAGTATAATGCTAAAACAATAAACGATTTTTAAGCTATTGTATAGCTTTTATCGCGGGCTTTGAACGCGGGGACCGAATCACAAAATTCTGTAACGAAAAAACCTTGCGAGAGTGCATATACCAATAGAACACAATTTTCGCCATTCTATAGTCAGTCTAAACGGCGCAGTGTGTTAAATCTTTGACACGGGACTAACGTTCGACGCATCACCGCGGTCGTCGTTTCAAATCCCGTACTCGTATTTTTTTTAGTTATTATATATTTTCATTTTTATATATATATATATTTGTTTTAGACCCCAGCACCTGTTCTTATTTTTATTTGTCTCCCTTTTATTTAGACTTTATAATTATAATTGAATTTTTTGGATTAAAGATGGTAAACTGTGTCCCGGAAAAGTCGAGTGTCAGCAAGGACTGGATATGCCCGAACTGCAAGAAGAGCACACGCAGGGGTGACAACACGAGTACGCCTGTAAATGGTATCAGCGAATCTTCCGAGCCCGAAAAACCGGTTGCTGTACGGGAACCTGTCGACCTGGCCAGTGGCTCTCCAAAGGAAGATGAGGTCCAGGGTAAGGCCAAGGAGAACGCCGCCAGAAATAATCACACCAGAGATATAAAAAGTATGCTGGCCGACTGAATGAAGGAGACGAGGGAATTCCGCTCAGAGATGGCGTCGGATCTAGGGTCTACATTAACGAGCGCCTCGCGCGCTAACCGCCAGCTTATATAATTTCAAGCAGACCCTGCCAGAATATCAGCGCTGGCGCGACACAATGTCGTATCACCTAACGCTGAGGCAGGGTCCTGGTTAGCCCTTACTGTATGAGTTCCTTTTAACATGTTGTATTTTTTAAGGGTTTATAAAAAATATTTCCATTCTTTTTTTCTTTTAACACCCCCACAGTGGTGCGGCGTTGAAAGCCGTGCATCGTCTAACGTCGTTTCATTTCGTCAGACTTCGTCACTGTGTTTGTGTGCGTGCGACTAGACACTATGCGTGTAGACTAGCTGCTAACTGCTCATAACTGATTCTATCTCTTTTAGACATAATGCTAGGTGAGACAGCGTGCTTTTTGGCCGCATCCACGAGTGAGTTCAAGCCCGCGACTAGTTGAACCTTAACGTGCATGTATATGGTACGATTGTACGAAGCTCGTATGTAAAATTATAAAAATATTTTAAACAATATTAACTTTTCATTTATACAATAAAATAAAATGTTTTCTTATGGGTCACCACGCTCAAAAAGTCTAACATGAATTAATATCAAAGAAAAAAACTGCATAAATAAATAATTAAAATTGCATAAGTTGATAAAAAATGCTATGCAATAGCTTTACCGCGGCAGTCCCCGAGTGCTACACGTATTTTTTTTTATTTAAAAAATCTGGTGCACGTGGGTCTTGGGTAACAAAGTAAGTACATTATGTCTTTTAGAATTTTATGATGTAAGAATGTGATTAGTAGATATATTGTATAATGTCGATATTTCTGTTTATTAATCTGGTAAGTTTATTTTTCCCATTCTCCTTGTAGTCTTAAATGTTTGGAAGGAAAAGTTAAAAAAATATGATCCTTGATTTTTTTTACTTTTATTAACCCTTCCATTTCGTCCTCGAGAGAAGAGTTAATAATAGTTAAAAAGATTTTAATAATAGGGTTATTAAATGAAGGTTATTTTTTTAATTTCATTAGTAAAATATCAGGTAAAAGTTAATGAATATTTAATTTACTTTGCATAAAGTATTTTATCAGAGAGTAAAATATTTGTTATTCCATTATTAAATTAATTTTAATCCTTAACTAATTACTGAGATTGAGAAAATTTTGCGATTTTGGATAAGTAAGTACCTCTTAATGTTCCGCTAAAGACACCGCTTCATGGACTTCACTCCAAGCCCTTGAAGAACCTCTCAAAACCTATCAAAAGATTTTTTTATAAATAGACCCGATAAAAATGACTTAACCCCACCTGATGTTAAGTAATGGTGGATTCCAGCCGCGAAGACAGCTGGTACAGCAGTGTTACCTGCCACACCAGCCATCCTCACCTTGCCGGCCTTCTTATTGCTTCTTCTTCTTTTAAAGGATTCCTCGTTTTTTTTCTTTGTTTGCGTTGCACCTAATTGTGGCCACAGCAAGTCGGTGACAAAGTAGGAGATCAACGAATAATGTCGAAAGTTATAATTTAAAACCATAACAAAGTTAGGTTAGGTAGACCTTGTGGCTTCAAATTATTTTGAACTTTACTATATACTAATTATATTTCCGTGCGATGTGTTAATTTTGGCGTGTGGTTCCTGGTCACCTGATAAGAGGGACAATTTCTGGGAAAATTTCTTGAGCTCTTCCCAATTCTACCTACGTCCTACATAGCTTACTGAGGCAACCAGAAACGTTAATATTAAATTTGATGCTTTATTAGGTCACGTGTTGGTAGTCATATTGAGTTGTTGTCTGTCCCAAAGAAAGAGAGGGAAGGTATTTTTTTTATCTTATGCATTGAACTGCTAATCCCTTTTAAAGATGTTTTACTGGATAAAGCATGGTAGATATTTTCCGTCCGGCGGGTCGGCGTATATCCTCTGCAGGCAATCATTCGGGGAAACATGCCTCCCTAATTTGCCCGGTCTTGTCGCGACAACGTCCACTCGTTTCACGTCTCTTTTTCACTTCCATAATGGCAGCTCCTAAAACAAAGTTTGGACGTTCAGCGGTGCACACCCCCACGCCTTCAACGCTGTTTGAGGTCGAGTTCTGCAACATACGCGGACTCCACTCTAACCTCAACGCTGTCCACCACCATCTTGAGACAGCACGGCCAGCATTGTTGTTCCTGACGGAGACACAAATACTTCCGCCTGCTGACACAGGCTACCTTAATTATCCTGGCTACGTGCTTGAAGAGTCCTTCAAAGCGAAAGCCGGTGTATGCCTGTATGTTCGGGCGGATGTTTGTTGTCGCCGTCTCCGCTGCTTGGAAGATCCCTCCTTCTCCATGCTGGGGGTACACGTCGACTCTGGCCCCCTGGCCAGCGATGTTGAGACAAGTCGACTTTTTGAACACCTTAGTCGGGCAGCAGATGACGCGCAGGAACAATTTCCCAATGCAGAATTGGTG